AGCATCGGGAATTGCATCCATGCTTCGGATGACTTGAGGCTGTGGACCTTCGTGCAAGGGTCCAAGTGGCGGCATGCCAGCTGCACGTTTCTTCCAATAGTCTTCAGACCTGTAAAACCTTCGCCTGATTTTTCTGGGTGCGCCCTCTTCGTTTTGCTCGGGCTCATCAGGTTCCCTTTGAACATCATCTTCTAGTTCCATATCTAAATCTTCAGGCTTTGAGGGATACAAATCTATGCATGAACCAAAGTGACGTTTCAGCTGGTTGTCGGCACGTTCCATGTCTGGGGCCAACTGGCCTACAGCAAGCTCTTTTGAGAGTTCACGGAATGCAGCTTCATCCTCTGGCAGAGGTCTCAGGCCTTCTGGAGAGCAACGGTACATGTAACCGTTGTAGGATACCCACACCAGTCTCGGAATCACACTGTTTGAGGAACTTTCAGTACCTATGATTCTTCCGGGACCTATCCATGCTCCATGGCGTGTTGCTAGCATTCCTTTACCTTGTTTTCTGAACATGTAAACTTGCTGTCCTTGAACATATGGCCCTCTCATTGGTCTGTTGCGTCCAGCTATGGCTCGGCGCCATGTGTCCTTTGCATGTTCTTCTATGAAAGCTCGGGCAGCTTCATCTCTCATTCTAACCCTTTCTGCAAAACTTGGGTCATCTAGGATTTGTGACTGGGACACCGGGTTTTGTTGTTCCATGACATCGGAAAGTGCACCAGCATGACGTGAGTCTCTTCCTAGAAACCACTGTGCAGGGGAGAAGCCATGTTTCCTAAGCTGTTCATTGCGGACAGTGCAACAAGACTCAATCACTTCTTCTGGTGAGGCATCAGGGCAAGCTCTCCAGACACGTTGGGCCATGTCTCGCAGGATTCTATTTGCCACCTCCACTCGGCCTAATTGCCAATGGCTTTCTGCTGCGCTGTGAAGTAACTGGATATTGTTTCTGACCATGTATCGTTGGAAGTCTAAGGACAGGTTTCTATGGTCAGGATCCATGTAAATCACTTTGGGAACACCATATGGCCTAGACCACAGCTGGTGAAAAGCCTTTGACAAACCATGTGGACCTGGTGACACGACAATCTGCTGGCAAAAATCAGTTGCAAGATCCACTGCAGTGAGCACATTGCGGGTGATTTCACGGACTTTTCCGGATGCATCTTCACGGTGCAATTCTACTTGAACATAATCTACTCCAACAATGTGGTTCGGGCTCTCTGCATGCTGGATCGCGGTTTTTCGGTGCAGTGGCGGGGATTTCATCTCTTCGCACACTGAGCATTTGAAATCTCTGATCGCCTGCTTGATGGCATCAGATGATTGGCACCTGTTGGCTAACCTCATGAGTTGTTCAGGAGAAGAATGACCAGTATTTACATGAACCTTATGGACCAGGGCTTTTGCACGCTGCGCTTCAAGGTTCAGTTGCTTGTCATCTAGGCTGACTTGTTGGTCTTCAGGAACGCCCTCCATGTTAGCATCATCATGCATTTGCGCAAGTTCATCCAAACTTTCGGCAAGGATTTCTTCAACATGTTTATTCTGGCTTTCACTGGGTTGAAGTGCTTGGCAAAGATATTTGGTGATATGCTTACAAAACTTGAGGGGATACGTTTCAGCCCAACTGGTTAAATTCTTACCCTTATATTTTCCGGCCAAGTGCTCATGCTGATGCTATCGCACCGACAGTTTTCCAGTCCTGATGCCAAAGTGGCGTCACTGGTTACAATTCGGGTCGGCTTGAAAACAGGCAAATCTGATTTCGGTGATCGAAGTCCCAAGGCACACTGATCTATGCGGACTTCCCAAGCATTTTCCAAACACAACTCGGCCCATGCCTGAGATGCTAAAGGATTTTCAGCGTGGGCATGTCCACCCAGCAAGATTTGGAGGTTCCAGGCTTCTGAAACATTATGCAAATAGCGACGTGCTATGGCTCGTTCACTCATGATCTTCTCGTATGTGGCATGGCTTTTGATGAGGTTTAATCTTGTCCAGGGACCCCAAAGCTTGCACGGAAAACTGAACCACACGTGGCGTGGTCTGCAAAATGCTATCAGCAAAAGCAGGCATCTACGGTCATGCAAACGTGTGAAGTCTTGGCCGAACTGGAGACCAAGGCGGATGCTTGCAAGTCCGGTTTGCTTTTCAAACACCTGTGACAACTTTGCTTCGCCTGTGAACACTTCTATGAGACCTACCTTCTTATCCAAGACATGAGCTTGATCACCAAGCCATTGCTTCAGTTCGGCTTTGACCTTATCAGGCTGTGTTGCCAAGCGTGACAACGTCATTCGCAGACTGGCCTTTCGGATGGAACCAATGCTTTTGAGCAGGCTTTTGGCACTCTCGGCAGGCAAGGGCTTTTGGTCTTCAAGTTCTACCCAGCTTATCTCCTCATAAAGTGATTCTACGGGGATATCTATGCCCTTATCTGGGGGAGTTACATCATCATGTTCATTGCAACAAAAGCATGCTGGCTCATCTCTGCATGGCTCATCACTGCGTGGCTCAGCCATTTCATTGGCAAATTCTTTTGGCTGGTCGGGCACACGGAAGGCAAAGATGGCAACACTCATGGATGGAACTGGACGGCGGTCTTGTGAAGGTGGTCGTATCCTCCAGGGAGACACAGACAGGGTTCCGCATATCTCCAGGGATGCTACGGAACTATCATATGCTTCCTGGCTAGCGGTGGTTGGCATTCTTTCCTTACGAGGCTTATAGGCCACCGCTGCATGGATTATTTGTCCTTCAGGAACACCAAAAACAACTGACAAGGCTTTTGCATGCTCGCTCACATCAACTACCCCATTCTTAGTATTCTTTACTATCCCTTGAAACGCCCGTTTCTTATCTAATGGGGTTATCTTATGCTTATGGGCATGTTTGGCATGCTTTGGCACTTGTTTGGGCGGCAGTTCAGGCTGCGGTTGGTCCTGGCATTCACTGGACGCTGTTTCGGAATCATTGGGCTCATACTTTGTCTCATGATCGCATTTTGCCACTTCTAAATCTTCTGGAGGTTCACATAGAGGAAGAAGCAGGTGACCATTGGATGCTTGTCGTAATGGAAATTGATCCAAACCATGTTTCACACTGGTGATGGTGCGTTGTTTCAAATCCAAAACTGCTTCCATGGCTTCCAATACCTTTCTAGACAACAGGAAAGGAGTCATCCCAGGAATCACATAGGTGGTTATGCAACCCTGCAGTTTCCCCAAACACACAGTCCAACGAAGACCTCGGGTCGTGGTCTCGGTCTTACCATTGAAGCCCTTCAACTCCACAGCAGGCAAGGTGATCTCCTGAGGCTTCGGAAAACCTTGGCTCTCGAAGAACTTGATCAAACCTGTTGCAGATTCCTGGCCAATGACGGACGTAGTGCATCCTGTATCGATAATGGCATAGCCCAGTGGTATCGAAGCTAAAAACACATCCATAGTTTTGGAATCCATTTCAACAGCAGAAAGTGTATCAGTTACCATGTAGTTGAACTGAGTGACAACCTCTGTTTCAGTGAAATTGGCATCCTCTTTTCGGCTGGATGGCTTGTAACCACGATTCTCACCCTTCTTCTTTGGCTGTTCTTGGCGATCATTTCTGAAAGGCTTTACATTGGTCTGTTGGCTACCACTTGCAGAGGAGGCTCCATCAGGGGGCATCGCAACTACTGGATAGTACGAAGGACCAACACGTGATTTCTTTATCTCCTTGACTTTCTTCTTGGTATCCTTGTAGGTCTTGAAGTTTTTCTTGAAGTCACGTTTTGCCTTTTTCTGAATCTCAAACACTTCAGCTAGTTCGTCTTCACTTTCATCATCTTGATGTTCTTCTCCCACAAAAACTTCACCCATATCATCATCATCGGATTCAGTCAAGGGGAGTTCCAAAGATGAACTTTCAGGGTCGTTTTCCTGAACAGCATAGGTTTCCCGTTTCCCAGGTTTCAACTGAGGTCTTGCAGGACGGCGATCGTCTGTGCGTTGGTCCTCAAGGTCTGATGCCCTGAGAATGCGCTCAACATCCAAAAATCTTGAGCTACCACCAGTTGAACGGATCACCAAGGTTCGCTGTTCACGGTTCAGTCCAAACTTCCGCATGAACAAATGACCCAGCACTGATTGTGGAAAAATTGGCTTTGGCTTGCGATGTGAGGGTTCCAGGGTGCCCAACATCCTTCGCATAGCCATTTGAGCTTTCTCAGAATCACCTTTTTCGGTACCAGTTGTATGCTTCTTGGATGACCTCAGGGAACTTTTGGCGCTCTTGGCACTCTTGGCACTCTTCTCGGAAGCTGGCCTTGATGCAGCTTTTGGCATACCTGAGGCTGATGCATCGGCAGTTTCGGCAGCAGGCTGTGGTGCCGAAGGTTCAGCTGGTTCGCTCGGCGGTGGCTGAGCTGGCTCTTCTTCTGTATCATCTGTTTGTTCAGCATGTTCTGACGGATTTGCAGGTGAATCATACGAATCTTCCAAGGAACTTTCGACAGGAGAGGCTGGTGTGAGGCGTCTCTTGTCATCACTCTTCCTTCTCTTTTTGGCCTTGGAAGCTTCTCGTTCTTGATGTATCAACGTCTCCAACCTTGACAAGGCCGTCTTGAAACGTGCTGAGAATGCAGTTGTACCTTCGTGTGGACGCTTTTTCAGGTGAAACAGAAAATCATCAATTGATTCATGCAGCTCTACCTCGGGCAAATGGCGATAGTGCTTATCCAAACATTCCAGCACTGTCAACCATCCACGGTCAGATCTGACTTCGGCAATTGATAGATGTTCTGTACATCTCCAGGCTTCACCAGACAATCTGCTAAGCAGTTTCGGTCCTGCTAAGTGTTGATTCTTGTCTTCTAAGGCAGCCACACTGAGTATCGCCTTTCTTCTGAACTCTCTATACTGTCCAGGTCGGCCATCGAAGGTCAAATCCCTAAAAGGACCCCGTGTGTCCATCATTCAGACACACCTGTGGACGGGACTGTCCAAATTGCAGTTGTTCGCACCTGACGGTGCCAATCCACGGGTACAGTGAAGTACCTCGTCCGGTTTTCAGCGAAAGGTCGCTGGAGCGCAATGGCTCACGCTACCATGATGAATCGGCAAGGGGAATCGCGCAAAAGCGCCACGTTTTCCTATCTCCACCTGCGTCAGTAGCCTCGCTGCGATTGCAGCAAGACTCAAAGGCCCTTTGGACCATAATGAATGCGGCAGCGACCATGTTATATTCTGGCACATGCATGACAACTCCAATGTCATTCTTCCAGATTTTCATATATAGATATAGATATTATAATATTATGATTCAATTATGATGTACTTTTCACCTATCTGTACAACGTAGATCCATCATGGAATCATTCTCCCAGCATCCCATGGATCCCATGGATCCCGCGCCGTGGCCAGGGCTGCCTCATCGCCACGTTCCAATCGCCCGAGCAGGCCATGCAGGCGGCTCAGGCCTTGGATGGCATGAGCCTCGACAAGAAGCACACGCCGCTCGGCAGCAAGGCGGCAAGGACCAGATTCGACCAGGACCGTCACCAGAAAGGAGAAAAATAGAGAAACAATGGATGTAAAATGGATGTAAAATGGATGTAAAATGGATGTAAAATGGATGTAAAATGGATGTAAATGAGTATGTCAAGAATGTTTGTATTCATATTTCATATTTTATAATTCATAATGGACGATTGATGATCTGGCATCACTATTGATTGAATGATTGATGGAATGGATGCTGATGCTGAGATGATATTCATGTACTATTAATGGATAAATATGGATAAATATGGATAATATGATAGTATCATATTGGATATCAATGAAGATAACGGTTGTTATGGTTATATAGATGGTAAGATGAGAGGGTGGGCGGAATAGATACCATGGGATGAATAGGCCATTGAAATTCAAGGGTTGTTTATGGGTTTTTGAGATAGCTGTGAGATGGTTCATTGGGATGTCCCCAAAACAGTGATCATTTTAAGTGAAATCATAGATGTAAAGAAATCATAGATAGTTTCCATGGCGAAAACGAATCAAGACCCTTGAGAGTAAGCCAATAGACATATTCCAAAACACTGCGAGGTTCAACATGAGGAGTTTCGGCCATGATTTCAACCATTGCTGTTGGTTTAAAGTGGGACCTTGCTGTCCCCTGGTTCTGATACCGTAGCCCACCATAGTACACCATAATCTATCATTGAGAGGTTTGCTGATTTGCCACTGGTTTCAGCAGCTGAAAGTGTCACAGTGTCAGGTTCAAAGTAGTGAAGTTCGACGACTTCAATCGAATTACCAGCAGAGCTGATGAAGCTTGGACCAAGTGGATGATTGGATGATTGGATGCCAATTCCAGCAAGACTTGGAGCTAGACTTCGGGACTAAGTAACTAAGAAACGAGGAAACTCCCGGATTTTCTTAGATTGGAACACCATGGACCCACTGGTTTTGGTGGAAGCTGGTGAATCCCCTCACCACCTCAAAAGCGAAGAGATCGATGAGAAGTCTTTAAGTGGCGATGGCCAGTGATGGGTCAAAATGATTGGACCATTGGAGCCATGATGAACTTGAACGAAGTCGGATGAAGTCGGATGACTTTCATGATGCTTCTCCCCAATCACGACGTGGCACGATGCCGTTTGGCGCCATGGTGACTGGTGAAACGCAGGAGTTCAGACCGCAGAGGAACCTGGCGTCCTATTCCCGCGCCGACTTCCGAACGTGGCTCACGGACAAGAAATGCTGGGAGCAGCTCGGGAAGCCCAGCGAAACCGGCGTTCTCGGACAGGAAGGATACCTAAGGATACCAAAAAAAACAGTGATTTTGATGATTATGATGATGGAAAAAACCATCATTGTTTCTTTTTTTTGATGAAGATCACATCAACAGTAGTTTAGGGTATAGGACCTATTGGGAATGGTAATTTCAATGAGTAAGATGATCATGAACTATGGGAGTTTGGGATACAAGTATGCGAACTCTGCAGGTTTCTCTTGCGCTACCAGACTGAAACAGAGCCTTGGCCAAAAACCAGAGTTTGCAATGCAGATTTCACGTTGAATCGATTTTGAAAGTAGTTGACTCTGGATGCTCGCATGTCGTTGACGTGTTTACGAATTTACTGTTTCATCTGTTTGAATCAATGGTTTCCCAATGGTGAAAACCTACTCAGGAGATCTATTGGCACGACACCACCATTGGCAGCACACCCAGTCAAGTCACTTTTGCAGAGAACTGCCCAAAGAAAATCTCCGGATTTTGTAATTTGGTTTGTCTACTGAATTTGGATTGTTTTGACTTGAGGATCTCAGAAGTATTGGCTTTGTTTGGGTTTCATTTGAAGTTCCATATAGATGAAAGACATATTAGAATTGATTTCGTTGACCAATTTCCAAAGTCACAAGTGTGTTGAATCATTTTCATTCATTTTCCCATTTTGCAGGCTCCCACCTGTTAGATCTCACCTGAAACACGGTTGCAGCCAGCAGGCGAGCCAGCCCTGTGCTACGGCGGTGAGCGCGAGAAGCGCACTGGAAAGTGACTTGGAAGAACCTGAGCTTTGGGTCCTGGGGATTCTCACAGCGAAACATCTGGGTTTTCCACCCAAAAATTGTGATCCAGGGGGAAAAACCATCGTCCTCTTGAATCATGGAAGGATTGTGAACAATCATCTCACAAAACAATGAGTTTTATCCGTTTTTTCCTGCAAGTTATACTTATTCTACTTGTTTTTTCCTGCAAAAATCCAAATCAAAACATCCATGGTGCTGTGGATCCTGAGGATTTGGTGCGACTGGCAAGTGCAGTGGTCACCTCTGGGCCATTTCCTGGCCACCTTTCACAAACAAGGCGGCCTCCGCTGCCTCCGGCCGGCCTCCTGCCGGATGTGGGGATGGGATGACCAATGGGATGACCAACTGATGGCCAGGAGTGGCGCTTTGGGCGGGCCCCGAGTTCACAAAGAAGGCGGGTTTTTTTGACGGAGATGTGGTGGAGATGTGGCGACTTAATGTTGAAACTGGCTTCATGTGCATCTTTATCCATGTTCACTTTCGCATTTTTTCGGATCACCAGATCCAACGGATGTCTGTTGGATATCTGTTGGATGTCTGGATGTTGTCAATTTCCAGCTTGTTGCAGATCCGCTTTGCGCACGATGTCGTGACCTGAGACATGGCGCTGTTCGCATTGGTTTGAATCCCTTCGACTTGTTTGATGCTTGCTGGTCCAAGGGCGTGAAGCATTTGGAATTTTCACCAACAGAGGAGCGCACTGAGTCAATGGCAAATCGTTTCCATGGCTGTTTCTATCCCAAAATGAGCGTCACACACATCTCCATGGCGCTAGGTTGTGGTCTTGTCCCTCCAATCTGCATTGTGGCTTTCATGCTATCTTTCCGAATTTCTAAATTTCATCATGGCTGTGACAAGTTCGAACCCTCAGCTTTCCTTAGTAACACACATTCGCACCACATACGGACATACCAGTTGTGGTCCTTACAAGCCTACCCTTCCATGGCAGGAGTATGCCTTGACGTGGAACGGTACCGGCGCATTGGAGAACGACCCTCAAGCTGTCATGGCCTCAATGAAGGAACCTATTTGGGTTTGTCCAAAAGGATGTACGGTGTAATTACATGGCAACTTTATAATAGTGAAACTGACAAAAAACTAGTGATTTTGGGGAAGACTCCATTTTCGGATATCTTTTCCTTTTTTTGCGATTTTTGCGATGGCCAATATTCCAAGGATCTGAGGTATCCCAAAAAATGGCTAATTGATGATTTGTTTGTGGTGGATGAGTATGAAGAAAGTTGGAGGCCTCAGGTGAGGTAATTACAATTCTAAGATACACACATACATATTACAAACATGATACCAATACTGCCCGGCTGCGCCGGGGCGGAAGTTTTGACCAAGAAACATGGCAGTAAGAAAACAATGGTCTGTAGGAATGTCTGTGATTTGCGGAAGTGAGAGATTGAGATTGTGAGGTGCATGAAAGAACGAGTGAATGGTTGTTGAGATCCACATGAAACGACATGAAAGAATCAATGCGGGAATGGCTGAATGAATGGCTGTATGAATGAGTGAAACTAAACTTCCTTCGATTGTAATAATATACATTAATATACATCCATCCATCCATCCATCCATCCATCCATCCATCCATCCATTGATCCATCCATACATGCATACAATCTGTATCATGTATTGAATTCCGTGCGCATCATCTGGTTTGGTGCAGGTGCGCATCCATCGGGTGCTGACGGGCGAGTGCGTGCACAAGTGCCGAACTCCCACTGTGCCTCAGTTGGAACTGCTGGGGCATTTTTCAGTTTCCGAAACTTGGAACCCCCAAAACTCCCATGGCTTCAGTTTGTAGTGTATTTAATTTGTACTGGTTTAGTATGTTTCATAGTGAATTTCTTAGTCTTCCACCAAAAGGCGATGTTTTTGTTGGGTTCCTGGGTTCCTGTATCGGATCTTTTGGAAAGACCCATTTGAGGCTCCATCCTGACTGAGGTGGCACCGCTGGGAGGTGACTTCCCTCACTTTTTGTGGAGCTATGATGGCAAGTGCCGATGGCAGTCGTGTTCCGGTCCCCGTGATGGGATCCGTGTTGGAAGCCAGGTTGTGTTTGTTGTGTCACATTTCTTCGAAAAACACGGCATTGATGGGCTGTCCTGGATTTAATACTAAAAGAAACAATAAGACAATAAGACGTTCTTGTGGGTTAAAGTTGAGATCCCATGTTTGACATCCTTGAGTGAGGTACTTCGCAGAATGCAATGAGAATGCGATTTCCGTCCGCGAGACAGACGCTTTGACGCATAGCAGCGCAGGTCAAACATGACATGACACTGATTTTTTCATCCTAAGACCATTCTGTTCATTTCCAAATCACCAGTCCACCAGGGGTTTAACCGTTATTTAACCGTTAAACCCCATGAAATTCACCATATTCACCTTAAAGCATCAGCCCTTGGGCGACCATCTTCACTTGAAGTTGCAATTTGAGGCGTCCTTCGAACTGATCAGGGATGAGGCATTTGTGGGACACGAACTGCCAACAATTTCCGCAATTTCCAGAAATCATCAGAAATCCCTTCGACTGTGAAGTCAAATAGATCTGAGTTGAAGGGCCTTTGAAGGGCCTTTGAAGGGCCTGAAGAAAAGGGGGGTGGGGAGGGTGTTTTTTCGTCAACCGGGAATCTCAGATTGTGGTTCATCATGGGATCAATGGGATCCACGCCAGGACGGCAAGAAGAAGACCCTGAAGTTTCCAGATTTGTCGACCTTCCAATGGTCTCCCAAGGACATCGGTCGACATATTTGGGACATGTACCCTCTGGTAATTTAACATAGCTATGGAAAATCACCATTTATAGTGACATTTCCCATGAAAAATGGTGACTTTCCATAGTTATGTTAGTTTACCAGAGGGTAGCACATGTAAAAAACACATATTGAGCACACAGTCTTTGAGGTTTCCAGAACTGTCAATGCCTCTCACGTTTAGGAAGCGCCAGCATGTTAAATCCATTTAAATCCGTTGTTACCTTGCAGATGTTGCAGATGTCATTCCCAGGACAACTTGCTGAGTGTGTGGTGCTTGGAGCAGGAGAACAACCCTGCCAGGCTGGATTCATGGAGTGACTAGATGTGACTATAGATGTGACTAGTGAGCCCCAGAACTCCTAGAACCAGAGAGAACACATTCTGCTTGAGGATTCCCTGGATGAAACATGGCTATGGATCAATCCCTAGAGATACCATTTTTAGTGGGATGAACATCCATTTGCCAGCTATTTTGGTGTTCACCATGGGTATAGGGTTTTGACCCATATCCACATGATGGAAACATGATGGAAACTAGCTGGGAATCCACAGCCCACAGAGGTTGGTTCTGGTGGAAATCCCATCTCGTCGTGAGTTGGCATCCAGATCCAGAACGCAGGCCTGAAATTTGCCGTGCACAGGGGCAATTCCTTGTTTTGCAGTTGGGTGTATGGTATGGTATATCTGTATATATACACATGTATACTACTGGTATACTACTGGTATACATTATGGCATGATGGTATACATTATGGTATACATTATGGTATACTACTGGTATACACGAATAAACCACTCCAGGGATGGTCTACGTTTAGAAGTTTCGTGTTGTTCGCCACGAATCTACGCTTAGCCTGTTGCAAGGTGGAGGCCTCAATGCATTGGCAGTCCGAGGGCGACTACTTGTGCCTCATCAATACCAAGCTCAGCAAGACCAAGAAGAAAGGACACCAATTCGACATCCGACAGAATGGGAACAGATTGGGAACAGGTTGGGTGATGGTATGACATGGTATGACATGGTATAACATGGTATGACACCACATTTTGTGAATGTGCATGTTGGAATGCCCGCAAAGTATGTTTGCAGTTTTTGGCTTTGGTGTTTTTTTGGTAGCAGCAACTGAGATTGCTTACAAGCTACACGGGCGGATTGGCAACACGAGCCACATGCGCCAAATGCGCCAAATTCGTTCTTAAGACACATTGGAGCCACTGGAGCGCACTGGAGAACTCAAGGGCCTGAGCTGTCCCTGAGTTGTCTGAGTCCAGGAGCCACTAACCTGGAGATTTTCAGGATCCGAGAGAAGAACATCCCAGTGGATATCGTGGAGGTGCCCGTGGCGATACGATGCGCACAGTGATGTGTCCAGTGCAGTTCCTGTTAGGTGAAAGACTCCGTCCGCGGCTTCCATTGGGAGACCAAGGGGTGCCGCAGCCTAGTTGGGCGCGTTCCTGTTCTTGTCACATTTTCCCCATATTTTTCCCCATATTTTTCCCCCATTTTCCCCACATTTTCCCAATTTTTTTCCCCATAATTTTCCCCAATTTTTTCCCCATTGTTGTGCCGTTAGGCATCGGTTTTCCCTGTTGACCAGCGACGAGTCGGGACACCATCCCAAGATGCATCTCGGCGATACGGAAACGGATGGGAAACGGATGGAATCGCTGCGATCTGAGCAGCCTGGATAGATCGGTTCCAAACATGGAAATGTGCAGCAAGCAGAGACAAAGTCTCATAGCATCATTTTGGCAGAACATATATAATTATATATATATATATTTATTTATTTATTGATTCAAAATGATTCAATCAGCAACACATGTTCGAAAATGACTGTGCGACATCAGAGAGAATAGCTTGAAAGCACCGAGGTTCATCTATGGTCTCAGCAAGCCTTGCATGTTTGTGTTCAGATTCCGTGGTTTATCAGATCGACATCCTTGGGAGAAAGACATTTTTCAATGCAGGGAAAGTACATGAAAGATCATGAAAGTACCATGTGCACCCATGTGCATTTTTGTTTGGCCTTGTGGAAGGAAGCCGAGGTGTTTTTTCAACTTTCTTTTGCCAGGCAAGGAGAAATGCGAGGCTTTGCCCTCAGAAGATCTGACGACTCTGAATTTCCAAACAAAGCAAGCAAGACATTCATAAGATTTCATACAATTTCATAGTCATAGGCAACTCTTTTTTTAAAACATTCTTCATGAATCACATGGGTGATTCACTAATTTCAAGGATACGCATCGACGTGCCAAGGCCTTGAGCTTCTTCGATTTACCGTGCGGCGCGATATTTTCGATGCGGTCCAATTGTATGACATCCATGATTCTGCAGAAATTATGCAATATGATTTGTAAAAAAAATGTAAAAATCATATTCATTGCATAAATACAGATCAATCATGGTCATTGAGTCATTGCTTTCAATCTGATTCCTTCATTGTGGTGATTCTTTGCCAGAATGGTTGGAGCATCCCAGGTCCAACAGTTACAACAACTTCTTCTGGGCGCCTGAAGGCCAATATTTCGCCCCTTGGTTCAACTTGGGAAAACCATAGGAAAACCATAGGAAAACCATAGGAAAAATGGAGATTTACCCTTTGGTAAACTAACATAGCTGGTTCAACTTGGTTCAACTTGGTTCAACACGGTTCAACACGGTTCGATGCGCGTCACATCGGAAGATCATTTGGCAACTGGTGAGGTTTGTGCCGCCGTGGGTCACGGCGACTTGCTGTTTGGAGGCATGACCAGCGACAACAAGATCCTTGGCGGTCAAAGATCATGTTATAATGATGGCAAACATATGGCAAACATATGGCAAACATATGGCAAATGGGCAATGTCGGCTATGCCTATGCTTCATCACATGCCCAAAGTCTTCGATTTGTTGAATGCAAAATAGATCACTGGTCAAACTAGTTGAAGCAATGCCAAGGCTGGAGATCCTGCACAAAGATGAGCACTTCATGCTTACAGATGTGCAATGGGATCCATCTTCCAGGTGCACCATGATATCGGTGCGGGCTTTGCATTGCCGAGTTCTGTTTTTAAAGGTTTCCAACCTTATCAATACCTTATCTATCCGTACCTTCTTTTGCAGGTGTGGTTTGATGTGCACTTTTTTGATCACGATTGATCACGATTGATAAGTGTGGTGAACTGCTGGCTGAAAAACCAGGTATGTCATTACTGCGGTGACTCAGCCGATGCAAAATGAGCCCGGTCCTTGGGGAGAAATGTATCTGATCGGACATCTGATCGGATTAGGAATTGGAAATATTAATATTGGTTAATAGTGATGGTTAATAGTGGTTTTTCTCAGATGGTATAAACCAACAACAATGGGAATATGATGGTGTTCATAGCAGTTCCAGGATCAGAAATGATCAAGACCTGCAGGATTGGCGGCTTCAAGTACAGCATGGAGGCCGGTTTTGCCATTTGGACCTTCCAGGCGCTCGGGACGAAAGGGACGACGAGTCATGGCAGCACTTCAAGATCTACAATGGTCGACAAGACCCGTTTTATCATGTCTTGTAGCTACATCATTGAGAATGGCAAAGGTCAAGACTGGAAGCGACGTGCTTGTTATTTTTTTCCCTTAGGTTTTTCGTTTTAAGTTTTTTGGTTTTCTTTTGAGTCGCCATGGTCAGTTTCATTTACAGTGCCGCGCTCACCAGGGCCGAGTGCTGCACCGACAGCAAAAGGAGAAGCTCTGGCAGATTGTGAGATGCTCAGAATGCTCAGTTCTTTGTAAAACATTGATGGATTTTGAGATGTTGAGCAAACTGAAAAGAAACGACATTTTGATCCATTTATGACCATTTTATGACCATTTCTGTGTCTTATTGTGACACCGTGAGCAGATGTTCGTGTGCGCCTTCCTAACACTCAACGGGAGATACGGGAGCCGTCTGAAATTCACCGAGTCTTGGCGGCCTCATCCGCCCTGCTTGTTGAACCCGCGTGGAGCTCAACTTGAAAAGCCGAAAGCCATAGCCGCCATACTGGCCATGCTGGCCATACTCCATAATTGTTTCATATTACTCAATGATGAATTTGTTTCACTGAAGCTTTTGAATCGGAATACCAGGAACACTTGTGTTTACATATATGTTTGAACGAAACTGTTCCTTCAGTGGTGTTGTCCTCACTTCATGTTAAGTTGTGCCCACGTGGCAGCTTTGCAATTCTTGTATACGCTTTCACTGAGGGCGAAGCAATCTTCGATCAGGAGACAATAAAACATGTGCTGTTCGATATATATATATAATACATATACAGCAATACATATACATCAATTACATACATATATATATTGATTGTATTACATATTGCAAAGCATGAGGCTGCACAGTCTGCACAGTATTGCAATGTTGCCGCAACGACACAAAGACATCACGCAGATGTCTTGCCAAGTTTGGACTCACTTTGGACGACTCCGCTGCCAGGAAGAACGTGAAGGCGTACTCCAAGAAATACGATCATTTGGATGACCAGGCCACAGATCTGCCTCAGGAATGCCACATGTACTGCAAAATGCAAGGAACACCTGTTGTGTCATGTTGTTTCATGTTGTTTCTCTCCTCTGCTAGTCAAAGTGCAAAATGGCAGAAAAATCAACTTTCAGAGAATTTGGAAAGGATTGGAAAGGTGTTTTTGGCAATATTTTGCAATATCCTTCAGGATTTTCCGGGTGATTTTGCTTTGTTTCCCGGGGTATCCTGGAATCTACAGAAATAGGCCAAAGAAGCAGCCAGAAATGCCTTCAAAAATGAAAGAGAAAGCAAGATGAGACATTTCAAGGACGCTGGACCCTCAGCTGTGCATTCATATCATATCATTAAGCTCTGCTTGTGACAAAAGTTGTAAAACAGTGTAAACAGACAACAGACTGTTTATTTGATTTTATGTGTCCTTGCAGTTCACCTTGATTCTGCTTTCGCAACCTCTTGGAACAACGTTCGAGGTGCTTGCCAGACTCGACGAGTACAAGTTCCAGCGTTGCTTGCTGTGATGTGACAGCAGATCCAGATTCTAATTGGTTGCACAAGGAAGAAAAACGCCAACGTGAAACAACATATGAAACGATTGAAGCCAGTTTGACCAACTGTTTGTTTCACACGCAGTTGAGTGAGAAGAGTCCGCTAGAGACCCACACGATTCGAATCTTCGAACTTTGCATACCGTGCTTTAGGCTCAGAGGAGAATGGCTGGGCGGAAGCAGTTGAGAGGCAGGAACGAAATCGGAACGGAATCCTGGAACCCTGGAACCTGGTTGCAAAGCTGGGCTTCTCAATTCCCTCTGCCAATCTGAGAATTTGCAAATTGATAGATCTTTGATGCTTGCCTCTCCCACCCACTTCCAAATCTTCCCAGTTCCCGGTAGCATGATATGCGTGCGATGTTCGATGACAGGCACCTAGGTGAACAGGGCTGGGAGCCAATGGAGGTGAAGACGCAGGAGGTGATCGAAGTGGTGGAGGCACCTGAATGGCGACGTGTCGTCGCCATTCTGTGCCATTCTGTGCCTTCATGGACTCCATTGTGACTAAAATATCATGAAATATCATGAAATATCATGAACATGAATCACAACATAAGGGTTTTCTAGGATGAAATGATGAAATGATGTCTAGATTGCCCAGTGCCCTGAACCCAATTTTTTTTCTCGGTAAAGTGAGGAGAAGATTTGAGCCTAGAGCAGAAGGGGACCCTAGCGTCTCTTGGCCCCAAACTTCATCAGCTGCAAACGATGCAGCCCAAATGAGAGAACCGAGCATGGAACCGTTGTGTGAACCCGGTTTACACCTTTCAGCTAGTGTTGGTAGTTGAAATATGTTGAAATCCTGGAAGATTTGGGCCGGGATCTGAACGTGCTGAGGCTGGAAGAAATGTGTACAGTGTGTGGTCCGCTGGCAGCTGCGGTTTTGTGACAGAGCAGGGTAAGCCTCTGGGTTCAAAAGATCTGATGCAGCTTGGACATTGTCAACACTTCTTGGATAAACCCCGCTTTTTCGTTGTCGAATTCCGTTGTGCGCGAAGGAATGCTACTCAGAATGCTCTGGGTGAACGGGAAAACCATGGAAAAAACACCTACGATGAGAGTCACACAGAGCGCTTGCCAGTGATGTTCAAGACTTTGGAACAAACAACTTGCAGAGTGCCGCCAAAAGAATCAGAAAGATATTAATGACTATGGGCCATATGGGCCATGGGACGTAAATGGACTCCAATACACTAAGTATGTGGCGTGTCGCTGCTTCAATGTTTTGGCTGCAACATATCCGACCTATTCAGCGTATTCAGCGCTCAAACCATGGGATGGAAGTGGCACCAGTCACCCAGATGAGTGTCGTAAATCCATCCATTTCTTGTCCATGTTCCTCTAGTGCTCTAGTATTCTCTAGTATGTCAGTTCGGTGCCATGCATCCCTTGGACCATAAGGGGTTCACACATTGAGGTTTTCCTAGATGTCGGTAGTAGGGGGCTGGGATTAGTTCGATCATTCGCTGCATTCGCTGGGCCAAAATTGCGATGAAACTGATGAAACTGCTACATTCTCAGCATGCCATGGCGAAATGTTCATCCTCGAGGCCGCATCGAAACTGAACCACAGCTGATACACCTCCACTTGAGGATGGTTGAAATCCCATTCGTTCCCGGTAGAATTGGGATGGTCCATTGTTGGGTTTGCCATAGTACAAACAATGTATATATATATATAATATAGTACATGTAATTTTTTTGGATTTGAATTTGACCTCCGCGTGATTTTTTTCCAGGAAAGTCATCACTTGTTGGTTTCTCTACGTGCTGCCCAGCCTTGGCGACACGACTTGGGAAGAAATTTCTCCCCTGCTGATCGATGACTTTGCCGAAGACGCAAAGCAGAATAAGGGCCTTTTGCCATTTGTTTCTCATATGGGTATGGATCAATACCTATAGATACATTTTTAGTGGGATGAACATCCATTTACCAGCTATTTTGATGTTCACCAGGGGTACAAGGTTTTGACCCATCCCCATATCATGGATGAAGCTCACCACTGACATGGTGGATGACGATCAAAATAAAAAACTGAGCAAAGAACCGGGATTTCTAATCTGAAATTAACATCCAACTTGCCATATATTTACTATAGCTATATTTACCAGTGGGATCATCTAGCTTTTTTGTCAGATCAACTTGCCATTTATCCAACAAGAATCAGCTTCGTTCCAAGGCCCTGCCGCAAGTTCCAGGGAGCAGTGCAGCGGAGGAGCTATATGCTGGTGTCATTGTAGGGAAAGGCACGGATGAAAACTGCAGGTCAGCTGTTGAGAAAAATAGCACATTGAGAAAATGGGTGCAATCACATCTACCCTCTGGTAATTTAACATAGCTATTGAAAATGACCATTTATAGTTGATTTTCCCACTAAAAATGGTGATTTTCCATAGCTATGTTAGTTTACCAGAGGGTATAGGACGTTTTGATTCAAGAACCCTGCCACAACAGACCTTTCCACACCATTGATCTTCTCGCCCGGTTTCGAATTGTGGCACTGCCAGGCTATCCTTTCGGCGCTTACAAAATTGGAGTCTCGGATGGAGCATTGACCACGACCAATGACACTGCCATGGCATTTGCGGAAGCATCACTGTGCAATGTCTCTTCCAAGTTGTCTCCGTTGACAGCAGGGCCGTCCTTTACTTGCACATCCAGTTCGTGTTCAGGTAGGGTCAGAACCCGACATAGTTCGGGCGTTTGGGCTGGTTGGCGATTTCTGGTCATTTTCTTGTCCTGATCAGGTTCGTACATTTTCGTAAGGACAACAAGAACATGAAGAATCTGTGCCATGGTCAAAAACCCAATTCACAGGGGGTTAATGTAGCGCTAACATGCCATGATTTTTGGAATCCCATTCATATTCCTGGGATGACCGGGGGTCCTCAACAATCCCATACTCTGCGGTGTGGGAAATGCCCGAGCCATGGAGGTTTCTAGCTGGGGAAATCATCCAAACAGGCCTGGATGTTCTGGGATTTTCCAGCCAAGGCGATGACACCGGAAGGTAGACAGCTAATCTATATATATATAGATATAGATATAGTGGGATATAATGGGGATATATAGAGGCAATATATGGGGATATATCCTATTATGTTCCCACTATATATCCCCATATTCCCATGGCTTGTCCCATTTTCCACCATCTCCATCTCCAGGTCCAGGGCTTAGTAAAGGCTCCACCGTGTGTCGCAGTTCCTTCCAGCCCACGGGCTCCAGCGTGCAGCTGGGTGGACGCGTGGGAACCTACTGGGCTCCAGCACTGTCCTGGCCCAGCTGGGCACAGTTCACCTTTCCAGCCTCCTGGGCAGCACAAAACACTGGAAATGGATGGACATGGTGTTTCGTTAACGATATGGAGGTTTCATGAGGTTTCTGTAAAGTCACAGGGGTAACTCTAAATCATCCCTATTTTTTCGTGGTTTCGTTGATATTTGAGCTCCAGGACCACACTTTTCACCGGGATCGTTTTCCAAGGCTGTGCCACTTGGAGCTGGAAACATCACCTTGCGCTTCACCTTAGATTCCAGGTATCGCCCAGAGCTATATGGAGGAAACAGTTGCCCTAACGCCTCGCAAGGAAAAAACTGCAGTCTCTGTACCAGAGGCCCCGCCAGTTTTGGCAGAGTTGGTTGCATCTGCCCAGCAAACTGACTTTTTACATTCACAAGCGTTGCAACGGTTTTTTGGTCTTTGCACAAGGCCTTTTTTTGCCTTTCGCTTCGATTTCGCTTCTATATGGGGATGGGTCAAAATCCAGTTTGCGACGGAAGTCTCATGATATTTTCGGTCCAAGATGTCTGAATTCCGCCGACGGCTCGACTAGATCGCGTTTGGCATTGAGAAAAAAAACATCTTGGCGTATCCCTCATTATATATATATGTATATGTAGGTTATATAGTTATATCATGTTACATCCCAATCTTTACCAACAGCCAATGAATGCCAATTACCTATAAGTACCTTATAGAGTCATTCTGAAGTTGTTTTTTTCACCATTTTTCCCAGTCTTTTGTAGGCTCCTGGGATTTCTCCGTTCCAGCTGGCGTGCATTTACTATGGACAGCAGCGGGGCGGGGCGCCTATCACATCACTGGGCCTCTGAAAAATCTGGGAGCTTAGAGCTTAGCCGAGTTGTTTTTGATGGAAAAATCCCTCTGAAGGATGATATGGGTATGGATCAATACCTATTAATACCATTTTTAGTGGGATGAACATCCATTTACCAGCTATTTTGGGGTTCACTAGGTACCAGGGTTTTGACTCATAGCCATATGATGATAATATGATGATAATTATGATATGTTTTTCTAAAACAGTATTATCAGATAGTAAGAATATTATAGCATTCCATTGATATCGTCATGGGACCATCTATCTATCTCTATGATTTTTCATATAGAGAATCAACGTCTCTGTTACAGGAGGATGGTGGTGCATCACCAGGTCTGGTGGATATTTTGATATGTTTTGATACATATGATGTTTTGATTGGGGGGGCAACACTGTTGATGCGGAGCAAATTTTACCCTCTGGTAAATTAACAGTTCGACCCTGGCAGTTGTCGGGGTTGGAAGACTAGTTTCCATTAAACATTGGTGATTTTCAGGGTCTATGTTAATTTACCAGGGCGTAAACCACCCATTGGCCACGGGTCACTTGGGCTTTTTGTGAGTCACTTTAAGGCGAGGCTTTCGATGCAGGAGAGATGACACAGATTCTGCAGCCGCCCAAGGACCTGAACTTAGAAGTTGGAGAACATCCAGTGACTCTGCTGACAACCCGCACAAGTCGAAAACTCATTTGGATGAAAATGAGTGGTTTAAGACATTGGTTATATTGGTTCAAACGTCAAACTAACCAATGGAAAGTGGGGTATAGACCATTAAAAACTAACAAAGTGGTTGGGTATCCAGCATTTTTTTTGAGCATTACATCCAAAAGAAACGGAAAATAAATCACAAGCATACTTTTGGGATGTCTTGGAAAAACCACTCAGGTGATCACCTTCTTCACATTTAGCCAATATCCAGCTTTTGGGGAGGTCGACCGTGACGAGCACGACAGATGCAGTGTATCTTGGAGTGACCAGGGACAACACGCCTTCAAGGATAAGCCTTTGATGATCGTGAGTGCTGAGCTCATCTATCGACAACCTTTAGCAGTCACAACAAGCGAGCCACCCAATGAACATCCCAGGCTTTACGGATCCAACGATGATTGGTTTTCTCAAAGAGTTGAACCTTTCTTTGAGGCTCCTTGTGAGGACGCTTCGGAGCACAATGTTGGTTGGTTCGGAGGTTCCGGAGTGGCAGATGTGAAGGCTCATTTTGAGTACTCAACCAGGGGATTCAGATCATGTTACGAAGCTGCCAAGGATGGTGGCGACATTTCCAGCTATGGTCCAGCAAGAAGTTATCTTCAATTTGATGGAGAGCAACTCCCTTCATACACAGATGGCTTGAAAGTGATGCATTTGCTGCGACGACTCTGGGCCTGTGCCGCGAAGAATTTGGAGTCGCCAGAGTCATTTACTTGCGAGTACAATGAAAGCGAGGCGGAGCGCTTGGCCAAGTCCCTGGCAACGGTGGATTTACATCGCTTCAACCGCACCACTTGGTACTGCGGAGTCAGTTGTGGAGGAGCAGTTGGCGAGGTGCTGTTTGATTTGACAACTGCGGAGCCGGTGAATTACTTCAGCACTTGGTACGATCTTTTGGTGAGTCGAAGTGACTTATTGAGTCTGGAGGATGCGTCTAGAGTGTCGGCCTCCCTCAAAGAACAAATTGGTTTATTCATGTCAAATTTCAATACCGGCCATTGGAATCTGTGGAATGGGAACAATTGGACCCCTCATCTTTGCATCGCTGCAATGTCGTGGCTTGTAAGCTTCTGGCATGAAGATCCATCAACTGCCAGGGAAGTGTTGGCAATGATCAATGATATTTTGTGGTTGCATCGAAACATGTTTACATCAGATGGTGTTTATGTGGAAGGCGTGGCTATGTACTCTTTCATGTCGATTACCGGACTCATTGGAATCTCTGCGATGCAGCGTGCATCCTTTGGCTTTGCGCCCAATGCTGTTGATGCAAATTCCTTGGCCGGTCTGGTTGAGTACCATCTTGCAAGCATGTCCACTGATGCATACACTGTGCCATTTGGTGATTCGCACAAGAAACGTGGCTGGGGGGACTTTTCGACCTTGCAAGCTGCAGTAGCTTCTGAGATCATTGGAAGACCTGTGGATTCAGCTTTGAGTCCTTGCGGCGCACGTGAATATTCCGCAGCTTTGTATGGCTCTGGCGGCTTATACGAAGATCCTTGGAGGATAAGTCCAGAGCTCCTTTCGTTGAACCTCACCCGACTGGTGGCATCTTGCAGTTCTGCTGCCACCCAGCCGTTGGGAGGCGCCATGCAACGCATCTTCAGCAAGGGTGGCTATGCGTCCATGCGACTCCCGCTGCTTGTCCCAGACGACACCTTTCCGTGCTTCGGCAGTGACACGTCGGAGCGCTGCGTGAAGGGCAAGCCGTCGTTGGTGGACAATATTCCGTATTCGTTTTTGGCTCTGCAGGCCAGACCGAATTCCTACTCGCATTCCGAAGTGGATTTCGGAACATTTACTTGGTCTGCATGGGGTGTTCGCCTGATCTCAGAATATGGATATGGCACCATTGCTACTGCAGTGGGACAGTGGGATTTTCGCAGGTATGAATACATCGACAACAACCCTGCTGGACATAATACAGTGGTCATCAACGAAGCTTTTGATGGTGACACCATCAACTTTTCGCAGCTCCATTGGGCCACAGGGCAACTCATTGGGATCGACATAGAGACCGACACCCAATGGCAGTGCGTTGAGCTGGATGGCTCAGTCCCTTACGGTTCCAGCCGTCCGGATGGATGGATGGAGACCATGCGACGTTATGCGTGTCCACTGGCAGATGGCTCCTTCGTGCTGATTGATGTGTTGCAGGTGAAGAAGGATCGTTCGGCTCTGAACTTGTGCCTTGGATTCCTTGGATCATCTTGGAGATTGTTTTGGAGATTGTTTAGGAGAAAGCGATATTGTTAGGAAGACATCATCTCATGCTTGTTGGTTATTCATGGTTATGTCATCTTATTCATTTCCATTTCCATTTCCATTTCACTCCTGTCGGCGAGGTATGGTGCTCAGTATGGTGGGCCCAACTTCAACGAAGCAGAAGCTGCGCAACGGCTACATCTGGAGGAATATTTCCATACTGAGACCAGTGCGCCGCTAGCAGAAGATGCTCCGGGGAATCGTTTGGCGGAAGAACTTCTGTTCGATCGAAGTTCAGATCCCTCCAAGTACAAATGGTGCTTCAAGTGCTGAGATGTTTCAAGATTTTCAAGATGCTTTTCACCAACTGTAGGGATATCCTGATTGGTGGCTTCAAATCATTTTGTTTCCAACCGTCTTTGACTGAGATGTTGATCTTAAACGAGGGTCATCATTTTTTGGCCTGAAAACAGGACAACTCCTTTCGTTCATTGGAAACAAAATCGGATTCCGATTGAAACCCAAACAATCCCACTGAATCGCCAGTATTCTTGGGAACATTTTAGTGGTAAACCATCCACAGCTGTCAAAATTCTCTTCAATCCCCACATGAACAGCATTTTTGACTACCCCAAGCACCAGGTGTTCACATGTGGATCCTATTCTACTGAATCCATCTGCCATCCTGCTGAAAGCTCGTTGTGGTATGGGAGACCACCGTCCGGCTGATGGCTTTGGGCTGGTCAGCGGCTTTTCCACTTCTGGTGGGAGCTTTGTGTATGATGCTTGGCCTTTCTTTTGGACACATTTTTGGCTTAGATCACTTCTATATCCCAGGATTGTTTGAAGGTTTTAACAAGTCTTTACTGATTTCCATGTGGACAATTTATGACAATTTTGGGATCCCCAATGGCCAAAGTCATAATTTCAGGGTTTCAGCAACGAGGACGGCTTGGTGACCACGGTGGACTCCTATTTTCGCAGCAACTGGCTGAAGAAGCGCCGTTTCCGTTTCGTGGGAGAGTCCTCCGTGGGGACGGAGATCTTCGCGTTTTTGTGCTGAGCCCTTCACTGAACAGCAGCACCAGTCCAACCATTGCGACTTGGTTCTCTTGCCGGTGAACCAAGAGAAAGTGCATGGAGTAATTGAAGCACTTTACACAATAAGTCACAAGAAGTAAAGCGCACAAGATTCTTGGTTGATTTTCCTATTTCTTTTGACCCCCAACAATTCTCTCGGTTCTTTTTTTACAAGGAGTTACCCAAATTATCAAATTTGTTCAACTTCAGCACTTGGCCGCTTGGCGCCCAGGTGTTGAGTTCCTGCTCCAGTGAGTTGGGCTGTGACAGTGCCACCGCCATCAGCTGTTCCTGCGTGGCGATCTGCTCAGAGGGCACCTTGCGCTGGGTGGTGCTGCTGCGTGGACGGCTGCGGGCCTTAACGAAGGTGGGGAGCTCGGTAGCCCCAAACCATGGAATCCATGAACCATGAAGTGTCCATACTCGATCTGGAAGGATGCGACCATCAAGCAGAATCAAGCATTTGGATTGACCTCAAGTATCCCTTGCTGATCACTTTGTTCACCCAAAAACATCCTGGGCCTTGGTGCCACTGAATTCCACTGCTGTGCTATGTGGATATGGGTATGTTCAGCCTGCTACACCACAGCAAAATAGCTGTGCTTGATCTTCATGCTGCATCCTTTGGGTTTGGCGTACCCCCAATTTTGAGGATTCTCATCATTATCCCCCCAATCAACGAGTTTTTTAGATGTTTTATTTGGGGTATGCAGTATATCCCATGGTTTTCCAGGGGCACAACCCGTCTCAACTGGCACAGGTGGGTGCTTGCGGCTCCAGCATCACTTGGGATGACGCTATGGTGGCCAAACTTCGTGCAGAGGTGTCCACGGTATCCACTTCAGAAGGTGGCTTGGCAGATGAAAGAGGTTGATGTAGGGTGGAATATGGTAACACTGCCATAGTTTTAGGATGTTTTAGGATATTCTTGATTCTGGATGATTTCGTTTGGTCGACTTCTTTGATCCACGGATCTCCCAGTCGGTTCGATCGATTTCCTGTGGGGCCAACCTGAAAATTGCATCATTGGTTGACACTTTGACTGAGGATCTACACCGCCGAAGACTCAGTTGGTCCAAAGCGGTGCTTTGTGATTTGTGTGTAAAAAGAGGTTTTACCCTCTGGTGATGTCAACAGTTAGCTATTGAAAATGACCCAATCGAAATAGTGGATTTACCCATGAAAAATGGTGATTTTCTATAGCTATGTTAGTTTACCAGAGGTTTTTTGCCGCCATCCCAACTGGGCCATGATTTTTGGCTTCGGCAACGTGGCCAAGTTTTAACCCAGGTCCACATCCACCGCGGCGATGTCAACCGACCCGGGAACTCAACGCACGCAGGTATCGTCCACCGACCCGACATGGACTTAGTATGTGGAAATTTTTGGGTCAGCTGTGAAAGGCCAAAGATTTCAAAAAACGGGACAAAAAAAGTCACCAAAAGTTGATATTCCTATGGAAAGAATAGGCTAAAAACTGATGACTGTTGACCGTGTCCATTCTTGGACACAGTCACAAAGTGGACACATATCCTTTGAATTCCTTTTCAACTTCCAAATTGCTTGGTCAGTTGGTCAACAAAAACCATGCAACTTAGGACCACACACATATTTCTTGGGATGAGCCGGCGGATGCAGATGCTACATATGTGGTACCTGATGTGGCTGTGCTGGGTGTGGTGATGCCCACCTCAATCCGTACGGAGATTTGGATGAATTCTGTCCGGATCTGGATGGGCTCCAGCCGAAATTCCCAATACCTGGCAGAAAGGCTTGGTGTTTGTTGCGTGATGCTGAAACTCAGTTTGCTTCCATCGGAGCTCAACTCAGCCATTTAGCCATTTAGTTACAGAAAGGGTAATTTGGTACTGACATATCAAAGGTTGGGTTTAAAAGATCTAGCATGCAAGGAACGAAGTGAGCTGCACAAACAAGTTTAGTTTCGGCTGGTGAGGGCTCAGATCAGAGGATTTGGTGAATTTCAATCGAACTTCCAGACTCAGTCTACCCAACACTGAAGCTTGTCCTTGAACAGTAAACCCTTACAGTATCCAGGTTTGTATACCCCATTCCTTTACAACTATTGGCGAGAGATCCTGTGTGCAATTTGGCTTGCTGAACCTTGAGATTTTGATCACTGGCTCAAGCAGCTACACAGATTCGAGGTGCAACTCTTCGCTCGCCATTGCATTCTGATCGTTCAACAAAAACATCTGGTATTCAGATGAAAGACCTGACTTTTGCAGACATTAAGTTTAATTCAGGAAAAATTCTCCATAACATCAGAAGAAAACTTCCAAAACATCCGTTTGAAAGACACACATTTTCCACCCGGTGGATGTCATGGGGCAAATCTGTGGGCACCAAACTCAGAATCTGTCGACTTTTTATCGGGGTGTCCCAGGAGAGAAAAGAATCAAAAGTAAAACACCATCAAAGGAATTACTAGGGATATCCAGGGATGGATTTTTGCATCATTGTGCTATCTCCCAGAATGTCGCATAGCTTTTTGGGCCATTTGGCTTGTGGCATTGACTTCACCCGAAGTCAGGCCTGGTGTCCTCTGCGATTTGGTGCCGGGAGGAGAACGCAAGTGTGACGCCCAGCTTTCGCATTTCGGTCGTGACGTTTGGCGGCGAAGACCTGGAGATCCCACTGGAACACCTTCCGTAATCATTGTTTTGTGTCTTTTGAAATGGCTATGGATCAATACCTATAAGTACCATTTTTAGGGGGATGAACATCCATTTACCAGCTATTTTGAGGTTCACCAGGGGTACAAGGTTTTGACACACTGCCAAATTGTATCATACAGCCAGCTCTGATTTTTTTTGTTGATCACTGATTTCCACTTTTTTGCAGGTCCAGTGATGAAGCCACACGTAAAGTGGACCAGTTGGCTCTGGAGTTGCGGATGCTGAAGGATGAGAACTATCGGATCAGGGAGGAGCAACTGCGCTTGGAGAAGGAACTGAAGGTCTCCCCGGATCCCGGCCACCGGCCATGGGCCATGGGTGGCCATGGGTTACCACGGGTTGCCACGGGGGACCAAGGGTCTTTCAAGCGGATTGATGCTGAATGGTACAAGACTTCACTTGAACAGTTGAGTTGAAATGACATCGTTTTCCTTCGGTGTGGCAGCTCTTTTTAAATGTCATCGTATTTTGCCGGAGACCATGAGTATATGCATGTGTTGTACATGACATACTTGGAACTTTTAACAGAACTCTTATACAACTCATGTTTCAATGAACCTTAAAAAAAGATCTTGATGATCTGGATGGAAAATGTGTTTAAAAATGTTTAAAACATCTTGCCAACTTCCAGGGCAGCTTAAAGATCTGTTGTTTCTTTGATGCTTCACCGCTTGGTGGTTTCCAGGCGCGGTCTTCGTGGCACGGCTCGACCGGGTCGACCGGGCGCCGCAGTTTGGCGCCGGCGCCTGGCCAGTCGGGACGTGGCCGTGAGGGCCGTGATGAGGCGCGGGAGGGATGACTCGATGACCGGGAGAAGCGAAACAAACCAACAGTACCCAACACATGGGGTCGTTGAAGATGTCGTTGAAGATGTGATTCTTATTTCACCATGAGTTGGGACATTGGTTACCAATGATTTTTTGGGATATAATTTCATGGGTACACGGTATACAGCAAACAAGTATGGATTGCTGGTTTTTTGAACCGCTGGGATCATGATCCCAAAGAATTCTCGGTCCAGGCAGAACGGCTCGGCCGCTTCACATCAGGCCGGGTTTACTTCAGAGCAAGGTTGATATCCTGCTCCTGGAGGGTCTGAGTTGACAAACCTTGATTGGTTAGCCAGGGGCAAGCCACCAAAAGTGATTCATATGCTACTGCTGTGCTAAAAGATATGGACAAACCAGGGGCCAACATAATTCATAGGTGACTTTCCAAGCAAGTTCTGTGAGCTTGTCCATGTTCTGCTCAGGCAACGTAGGACAAGGGCAAGCAAACCAAGCAGGACCACCAGGAGGCAACGTGATGTTGAATAATTGGTTCCCTGTTGAGATACTATGGGATGAATAATGACTTTAGGTTGAGTCAGATTGGGATTGAAAGCACAGATCAACGATATACCCTCTGGTAATTTAACATAGCTATTGAAAATGGTGATTTATAGTGGATTTTCCCATTAAAAATGGTGACTTTCCATAGCTATGTTAGTTTACCAGAGGGTACACTATCTCACTTGACGTTCTACATCACACGCTTGCTCAGAACTCATACACTTTATACGCATCTGAAGAATGTATAGCGGCCGCAAGGTAGATCAGTTGGAAAGCTGGAAACCATCGATGGTATATATGGTATCCTGGAAGCCATATGATGAAGATTATCAGAGGCATCCTGCAAGGACCTTCCTATATATATATTATATTATATTATATATATTATATTATATTATATTATATTATGTTATAACATATTATATATATTATATTATAATATATATAATATTATATATATAATATATTATATATATTATTATTATTATATTTATACATTATATTATTATCTATATATATTATATTATTATATATATATAATTATTATTTATTATTATTATTGTTATATTATTATCATATATATTATATTATTATTATATATATATTATATTATATTATTATATATAATATTATTATATATATAATATTATTATATATATAATATTATTATATATATATAATATTATTATATATATATTATATAATTATATTATTATCTATTATATAGTATAGGTATATTTTTCCATCAGGTTTCACGGCTTTCTGATGGGAAAGTCTGGGAAAGTGCTTGTTTCAAGTACCGAGCGATCATTTGGATCAGTGGGATCGAGGCAAAGGGTGCGAAGATCATCAACTGATGTGCGCCTTTTTTTTGCACGACATCTCTTGGATTAAACTATGGTGACGATGAAGATTCGTTTCTCGATCGCTTTCTGTGCGGAAAATCGGTCCCATGTCAGTATAGAACCGCGAAACTATGCTCCTTTTGGACTCTTTTCGTGTTTCAACTTTGAAATCTGACGGCATGGATCAGGTACATGAAGGAAGTGATTCGAAGCTTACAGGTGGCGCCCCAAAATTGCAGTTCTGTCACTGTTCATTTTGGGATGTGATCAAACCTTGCCCAATATGACCCCAAATGGGTGGTGTGAAGCATCCCCAAACCCTCAGTTTATTGGATGCAAAACCATTTGACCTTGCAATGATGGGCGATTTTGATTGTTCGAGGCAGAGAATACACGTTTGCGAAAGGGGGAAACATCTGTCAGGGCCTTGGAAGTCCACTTCAAAACGTTCATACGTTGGCAATTCTAGGTTTCATGGAAGTTGCTGGTATGTTGCTGGTAAACATTAGAATTGATATGAATTGATGATATTCGTTCAATGATACCCATGCATTTCATTGGAATCAGTTTCTCTGTTTCTATCATGTCTTCCCTCGCTGAAACTGCCGGGTGGTTCCACTATGACGTCGACTTCTTTAGGTCAGCGCTTCACCCACAGGTGTGACGGAGGTGCCATGGTTTTTTTCAACATGTTTCAACTATGACTGGTGAAGATTCCCCACCAAAACAAGTGTCACCCCGAATTTCAGATCAGGGGTTGCAGGTTAAAGTTCCTGTTTCAAAACGGTTCAACTCAGAACATCCAGAACATCCAGAACATTTCATCTCAATTTTGGCAAGATTTTTGGAGGCCTCTATATCATATATATCATGCCGTCTCACAACATTGACATTTCATAGCGCCAGGAAGAATATCGGCGGCTGGAAGGGCAGCTGTCGCTTGGCTGAAGGGGATCATTTTTTTCTCCAGTGGCAGTGGGGGAAATTTCTGCATTTCTGAACCATGCTGGGTGTATTCCAATGCCGGAGGTTTCATAGGCATCAGTGCATCAGTACCTGTCAGTTCCCTGCCAGTCGAATGCTTCAGCGACAACATGGTCGCATGCAGGCCCACACTTTAACTTAGCGAAGTCGTACCTCGGAAAACGTGTTGCTGGAATTTGCTGGACACCAAAACATCCAAAACCCCAAGAAAAATATAGAAAAATTGGATTTTGCACGAGAGGAACAGTGAGAAAAACCAGAAATGGCAGTTTCTTCAATTGGGGTACCCATTTTATACCACCATTGCTTTTCCCCATGATGAACCAACATCTTGGATGGTTGGAAAAGGTTCACCATGTCTAGACACACTATCTATATATCTATCTATATATTGATGGTTTGTATCACAGTAATATCCACATGAGAAAATCAGAAAACCTTGGGATTTTCCATGATTTTCCCACAGCAAAACCATGGTCCATGGCCCACAGGCCGCGGGTTCTGCTGGAGTGTCTACCGCTGTCTCGGGCGTCTCTACCCCGCTGTCATCTTTCGGGGAGGTGACGCTCCACTTTTCGGGAGTGGGAGAGAAACTAACATCCGGAGATATCAGAAGTATAACATGTGGTAAATTGCGACAAGTTCTGATTTTTCAAATTGTGGATAATTGTGGTATGTGGTAGAATCTTCATTGTAGGGGACCATCGTACCAACATCGGAACATGATAGTTATATAGTCATCAAGTTCGAGGCGTCTTTTCCCTGCGCCAGGATCAGCGTGCGATGCGTGCGCTGGCTGGGCACTATGAGGCCCTTCAACGAGAACAGCAAGAGCTGCGAAACAAGGCGAGCCGCAGCCGGTGGTTTTGGAGGAATTTGGAGGATGCGAGTCCATGAGGAGATATCATGGGGATGATATATTTCACCAAGCTTGATATGATTCTTTTCCGGGGCCCGAAATGTGGTGCCAGCATCAACTTTTGATGGTGGATTTACCCCACGGCCGCTGCACAGATTTGTCGCTAATGAGGCTCACCCAACAATAACCAATGACCCATGCCATACCCATCCATTCCCAAGTCTGTCATTTAGTCTACAAAATTTCTTTCAATAGATGTTACCCTCTGGTAATTTAACATAGCTATTGAAAATGACCATTTATAGTGGATTTTCCCATTGAAAATGGTGATTTTCCATAGTTATGTTAGTTTACCAGAGGTTAAAAAATATTGGCTTTATCACCCCAGCTGCCAATCTGCGCTGGCCCCGATATTCCCCAAAGTTGGGGCTCGACTTCGTTGGACGTTGGTTTTGGCTAAGGCCCTCCACCTGTGGATTTTGTGGATTTCTTTCATTTCGGAACCAACTTGTCGACTGGAATGCAAGAAATGTGATACATTATTTGCTAAACACATATTATTATTATTGTTTGATTAGTATCATTATCGTAATAATATATCACCAACACATACCCCAAATGACCAGAACTGGTGCTTTCCAACACCCAAGGTTCGTCGCTTGGCCCGTGGCTAGTTGTGGCGAATGCAGCGCAGGTCTCACACCTCACGACCAAAGAGCGTGGGGGGAAGAAAAAGATGTCAGGCGTTTCAATGGGAGTCTACCAATCATTTTCTAGGCATATAATGGGGATATTCTAGGGATATTTGTGGAGATAAAAAAAAGGGACCCCCATGAAATGAGGTGTAATATTCACCATGAATGGTAATGATACCATAAGAATTGTAGGATTTCAATGGGGATACTTTATGAGAGAGTTATGGGGATATAGCCAGCACTCTGTGGATGGGGGCCGGGAATCTATCCAATCATATCCAATTTATAGCCGATCCCCCCATATTGGGCAAAATGATGATGGGATTTTGGTGTTTCCACAACATATCTTCAGTTAAAGCTATCTTGGGATGGGTTTCGATCCACAGCCCTGAATCATGTCCAGTTCGCAGGTGACCTTTTCTTATTTTTTTCTGTTTCATGGACAGGATTGTTTTCCATCATCCATGAAACAAACCATGAAACAAAACTGTCCTGGAACAACTACTCAAACTACTCATCATGTTTATTCTTTTTTTAAATCATCATTTGTTGTTCCAGGACAGTTTTGACTACTCACGATTCGAAGTTTGGTGTGGTGTTGAACTTGAAACGTCCATGACGTCCATGAACAGCCACCTATCCATGCTGGACGTCTACACCTTTGGGCTTCAGCAACATAAACCACAGACACATAGATTCCACGCGTCAGGAGGGGTGAGCGGCTCAAAGAGCTGAGGTGATTTTCTCATCATGAAATCTTGCTTAGTTGGGTCCAAACGCACATTGGTTTTGAAAGGGTTCTTTAAGACTTTAAGGTTTTGTTTAATTTTCAAATCCATCTCCAATTTCTCTGGCTTCCAGGTAATGAATAAATGAATTTCATTTGGGAATGGACATCACCCATTCGCTGATGATCTAATGATATCCCATATATTTTCCCATTGCAATCGTTGGAACTTGGGATTTTCCAGCCCTGCCAAATTACCAGAGGCTGATGGCCATAACTTGAGGATCTCTCTCTCTCTCTATTACGCAGTAGATAGAGATTTAGAGTATAAAAAATACAGTATAGTACGGTATAATGAAGCACATTACAGTACAATACAGTGTAATACGGTATATGCTACAGTATATACTACAGTATATACTACAGTATATACTACAGTATATACAACAGTATATACTACAGTATATACTGTATATATATATATGGTATATATATATATAAATACATACACCCCCTTGTCTGGACAGACGTCCGCAACCGAGGATGTGGGTCATCAGTCAATGACGGCCCTCCCAGCCACGTCTTGGAACTCGAAAAAAACCACGGTGGGGTATGGCTCTGTTCCTCCCCCCCTTGGGGTATGGAAAGTCACCATTTTTTATAGGTAAACCATCTATTTCTATGGGCCATCTATACCATGGCTATGTTAAATAAATAACCAGATGGTAATTGGATTTTTCCCTCCTATTCCGTGATTCAGACAAAAAGTCATGGTGCTGCAAGGTTCACAAGTTCAGTTTCATTCTGCGAAGCAGATAGCTAACAGTTGGATTCCGCACTCAGCTGCAGCTGCGGCTTGCGCGATGCAAAAAACATCGCGCACCAGAAAAACCGGCGGTTCCAATTGACTTCCAAACATGGACGAGTTTTTGCTAAAGCTTAAAAGGCTAATAAGGTGGTTCTATTCCCAGCGAATTTTTTCTTTGAATCTTTCTTTAAAGCATCTGCCAGGAGGGCGCGTTCTCCCAGGACGAGGAATGTTGGGAATATCTGGATCCCAACAAGGTGAAGCGTGGCCCCTTCTCCCGCAGTCGGATGCTGGTGCGCGCAGTCGGGGGGAAGTGGAGCTGCTGGAGCGGAGCGGGAATCAAGAGTCGAGTGACTCAAATGTGTTTCCCCGAAGAAAATCATAGAAAATCATAGAAAATCATAGAAAATGATGTAAAATGTACATCTATATAGTTGTTTTTATGATGCTGATGTTTTCTTGATGACCTGGTCATACCTCCATTTAAGATTCTGCGAAGTTCTAACTTCGCTGTTCAGGTCTGGTACCAGCATAAGATGCTGCCGGAGGTCTGGAAGGGTGACGAGTTCAGAGATTCAGAAGATTCTGCTGGAAATTCAATCATAAATCATCATAAATCATCTAAATCATCTATAATCATCTATAATCATCTATAATCATCTATAATCATCTGAAAATTGCATGGAATTGACCTTGAATTCTAGTCTTCTAGTCCCTGACAGCCGAATTCCTGGCTGCCGGGTGACAGGAGCTGGGAGTGCGCTTTGAAGACCGGATGCCCTTCACACCTATCAAGGAGTTGCGCAGCCGCATCATGTGATGGGCCCCGCAATGGCGCTGAAGGACACATAGATGGTATGGATGGTCATGGATGGTCATGGATTCATGATTTAGGAGCCACTGGCGACAAGTCACTGGACACCTATTCAAAAATAGGGGCTTCGAATGGTTGAAATATTTCTGATTATTTCTTCCTTGAAGAAATATATATATATAGAACTTACCTCAAATCCGATGATTCCTGGAGCAGTTCGCGACAGGCTTTTCCCACCGCCTTTGAAGCCGTTCGAGTGCCCCATGCTGCCATGCTGCCCCTTTTCCGGGTCACGGATTGGTGGACTTGCGGCTCGCTAAAAACGGCTCCTTTCAATCTGGTCCCCTATAGTTGGGGGTTTCCTAAAGTAGGGGTACCCCCAGTCATCATCCATTTATAGATGGATTTTCCCGTGTAAACCATCCATTTTGGGACTTTTGGGTATCCCCATTTATGGAAACACCCAGTTAGATAAGTTGATTAAAAACCTAAATTTGTGTTTGCAGAGGTGACTTATAACAATAGTGAGATGGGGTCAAGCAACAATAACAAACATAACTCAGGGGCCACCAACTCGGGCCACCATATTGAGTTGGTGTTTCCAGTGGCTGGTCATCCCCAACCCAGCTGTAGCGGATCAAGCTGAGCCTGTCCACGGCTGATCTTAAGTCCACAAAAAGTCGGCAGACAATACACGTTTTTTTCCATGTTTTTCCATGTTTTTCCCAGAACATGTTGAACAGTTTGACTGGATACTTCACAACTGAAATGGGGAAACTTCACTGATCTGGAACTTTCGCAGCTACTTTTCCAGTGACAAACAGTGTTTTAAGAACATCTTTTCGAAGCCCCACTTGCTGCATTTGCGCCACGTGCTTTGCTGTAGCGACCTCGGTGAATTTTCCACTGCACTCGGTGGCTTGTGATAGACTTCTCCGCTCTTTTTCGTTCACCTTTGGAAGAAAAACTGTCATATTTTGCCTGAAATATGGATAAATATGGAATGTGAATGTGTTATGGGATGGTTTCCCAATCCACAGCACGGTCGTTTTGGGATGATGGACCCATTCTCATTCGATGAAAGGTCGAGGGTCGGGCCTTGGAAAACGTGGCCATGGCGTTGACCGCAGATGAACGGAAGATGCTCAAAGGCTGGCGACGCAAAAAACCACAGTTCCCAGCTATATCCAGGGAACATATCTATAGAGATGTCTGGTTGGTGGTTTGGAACATGACTTTTATGACTTTCCATATATTGGGAATAGTAACCCCAAGTGACTCAAGTGACTAATATTTTTCAGAGGGGTTGAAACCACCAACCAGATGTGGTAGAATATGGTACTGTATCCAAGATGATCTTTCAAAACCAGTTTGAGGCTCTCTATTTTCCGCAGATTCTCACAGGATAGCAACGCTGATCAATCATCAATAAGCCCTGTACAGTCATCAGTAGTTCCAACATCAACCAGCTTTTAAATGTGTATCTTGCAAATCCATTTACCATCAGTTTCTGACTGCCATCATCAGTTGAATCATAGGGTTCAAAAAAAACCGATAAAACATGGAGAGTTTTCACAATACCATTAATTAATCACCCTCTGGTAAATAAACAGCGACCCTGAAAATACCACCCATGTTTCATGGTTTCACTCATCTTCCAAGCCCTGCCAGGGTCGAACTGTGAAAATTTACAGGGTAGCCTCTGGTTATGTCAAAATAGCTATTGAAAATGGCCATAGAAATAGTGGATTTTCCCATGAAAAATGGTGATTTTCCATAGTTATGTTAGTCATTACCAGAGGGTAACCATCAGTTTTCCCCTCCACCGCAGGTGTTTGGCCTCTGGAGCTTCTAGAGGATCCCCTCAGAGCTCCGCGCCGGGTGAGCACGGCGCTGGAGTTCCTGAGGGAGGCTCCGGACGGAACATCCAACGGGGGCGGGAAAATCTCCAACTTTCAATGGACCTTTCAATGGACATATCATCTATAAAATATCTATAAAGTATCTATAAAATATCTATAAAGTATCTATAAAATATCTATAAAATATCTATAAATGGGCTTTTCTGGTTGTACTACTTGTGATACTAGACTTTATTGATGTAACACATGCATTGATCATGAGATCAATGACAAGGAAAGTTGAGTGATAATAGAAATTGTTTGATTGATATCATCCGACAATGATCGTTGATGAGTTTTTTTTTTTTGCGAGGGTTGTTTGATGTAGATTCAGCCATCATTTGCAGGATTTCACAACCAGCAAGAGACGTGCATATTAATACAATCCAGAACTTGTTATTGTGGAGTATCATAATCTGTGAAATACAAATTCGAACTAATTAACCAACCATGATTCTGATTTTCCATCTCAGTTGGGAAGAATGCTACACTGCAATTAGCGCTGAGATAACGCACAAAAATACGAAAAGACTGTCTCGAAAAAAATCACAGAATCCAACAGATACTAAAAGATCTGCGAATTTTCTGTATGATTGGGAGTTGCAATGCTGATCAATAAAAATATATTTGGTTGACCAGTTGACCAGCAAACTTGGAGATCAATATCGAGTTCTTCAAACATATCGAGAGCTGACTGTTGAGGTCCTAGTCTCTGAGCACCTTGGAGACGTCATTGCCTGACACCCGGGCCACATCGAAAAACCGGTCGGTGATGTCAGTTTTTCCTTGTTGGGATGATGCCAATGGTGCACCAAAGATGATGAAGTGACCTACCATCTGCTTATGACTAGCAGTTTGCCAGGGAATATCACCATTTCTAATAGGTAAACCATCTATTTCTATGGGCCATCTATACCATGGCTATGTTGAATAACCAGAGGGTAAAGCCACAGTTTCTGAGATCTGAATTGCTTTCCGTGGCTATAGTGCCCGCTTTTTTTCACAGGGTGCCAATTTGGACTGGCGATGGTCATTTCAAGAATCGAAACCCATCCATTTTTTGGGTCGGACACTATATTTCTAGTATTTTCTAGTCACCTCAATCCATCTAAGTTCCAAAAAAATCTGCTGGTTTTGTACAGGAACCAGAGCGAATTAAACCACAGTGATTTTGGGCTGTTGACCCTTTTTTTCACCCCACCAGTCTCGCAGCTTTCAGCCGCTTTTTCCACCTCTGGCGAGGTCTTGCCCGACGGTGTGAAACTCTTGGGGCTCTCAGAGAAGGACTTGTTTTTTGTGCATCATGGGATCATCGCCAGCATCATCCGTGTTTTAAAGGGGGGATTTCCAGTTGTTTCAAGCGGCCAAGGCAAAGAAACCTGATTCCAATCAGATTCTGATTCAGTTCAACTCTCTGACCTACAAGCTGGTGGAAAACATGGTTCAACATCAAACAAATGCCAGTGAAGCAAGGAGAGCACTCCCCAAAAAGATAGAACCATGCCACGACAAAAAACTACAGCATCATTCGAATTTCCTGGGAATCATCGGAATCGACAGGAGGTGATGCCAAAGGATTTACTCCAAGCTTTGGACGCTTCAAGTTCTGCTGGAAGCACAGGGGAGCAGGATGGGATTTGGCCTGCAACACTGATGATATATATATATATATGTTATAGGCGTTATAGGATGTATGATATATATATATAGTTATATATATATGTATATATATAAAATAACAGGTACGGATGCAGAAAAATCGGTGTGCTGCGGGTTCTCCCAAGTTCAGAGTTCAACAGGCACCGGCTTCACGGAGCCATGTTCCCCGTCGGAAAACCGCCCACAGGGCCCACAAGGTTGACCCTTGAAATCGCCTACGTTGTGTCTAAAAACTGCAGCACAAACATAACACCAGGGATTTCAGACAGTGAGTCTTGGTTTCATTCACTCACAGTCTCAGTGGGAGAGGATCTGTTTGGCTTGCTTTTCAGTGACAAAAAAGGTGGGCCTTAAAAGAGATAGAAATGGGTAGCTGGATTCTAACTTGAGGGGTGACCCAAGTTCCCCAATTCGCCTCCACTTTCTGATTCTGAGGTCAAAGAGCTTCTGAGATATTTCCAGAAAGTCAGAGTCTCAAACAGGTGATGTCAGGGGTACAGTGAAACCGGAAAAGGCAACCACGGGCAAAGATGAACGAGCGGGGAATTTCGGTGAGTAACCAAAGCAGGAGGCACGGCCAGTTTTGCTTGCAGATTTGGCGCATGATTTAGGATAGAATATTTGAGATTTAAGTTTTAAGATTGATTCTCAAACATTTTAAAAGCTTAGGATTTAAGATGCTTTTGTTTGAAAAGACCCGGAGTTCACAGTATGACATCTATGCTTAGCATTGCTGGCAGCCGGGCCGAAAGGCCTTTCCCCCCGGCGGGGGCCAAGTGCTCAGTGGTTTCAGAGATGAATGGGGAATTTCTCTGATCAAAAGCGGGATCCAAAAAACCTTGTAGCACTCAATATTTCAATATATTTCATATTTTTTATCGGGCCGGGACCTCAATCTATGGCCCCAAGGTCTCAGCTGAAGCAGTTTTGGATAGCACAGCACGGCACCTGAGGATGAGAAGCTTCTGACCAAGTACAAGGCACTCCCTGTCGAAAAAGCTGCCTGGCGTGTGGATGATCCTGATCGGTTTTCACACATAACTGACTGACTATAGCTGACTATAGCTGACATCATAACATACAAAAAAACCATCTATAACCAATATCATTGCCAATATCTAACATTTTATAAGCCATATATAAGCCATATTTTTCACCACTTTTTTTAGTCTACTCTGTAGACTCTGTAGACTCTGTGAAACCCACAACGAAGAAGAGTGGCTGGGATCATGGGAGCATCTGGGATCAAAAAATGGCGCGCCACAGGCAGGTGTGGAGTACGTGGATCAGCACGGTGAGCAGCGCGGGGCTTTGCCCAAAGAACGGTCTGAGTTCCCAGTCCCAACGGTCCCAACGGTCCCCAGTCCGCCGTTCCGTTTTTGCACGCCGAAAGAATCGGCACCCCATGGGGTCCCTTAAGTGAACAAGGCTTCAACATGCGTTGCTTCAACATGCTTCAACATGCTTCAACTCAATTTGTTGGGACTCGGGGTTTATTTGAAATGACTCGAAATGACCGGAAATGACCTAAAATGGATGGCATTGTGGGCTTCAAGTCGTACTCTTCGTGGTTTCCCAACCCCACTGGTGCTGTCACTTGTTGGAGGCGAAATCTTCGTGGCCGAATCAATGAAGTCTTGAGACTGGTGGATGCTGGTGAGGTGTGGCAACTGGTCACAACTTGTCACACCACTCCCTAGAGATTGCAGATATTTTCCATGCTTGGTACATGATTGGTGCAGCTGATGTTGCTTGGTACATAATTGATTATAAGTATTTATAAGTATAATTGTACCAAAATACATGATTGATTATAATTTGGTCATGGACTTTTTCGGGTTCAAAAATTGCCGCGGCCAGATGTTGCAGGTGGATCCTGAGTCCCTGTACGTTGCCGAGATGAGATTGCTGGAAGCCATTGAGCCCAGAAACCACAGTGCTTTTGCTGGCGGCTTGAGGTATATCTGAGGCAAACAGGGCTCTAGGGCTGTGCTTTAGGGTTGGTTACCCTCTGGTAAACATACAAAAAAACTATGGAAAATCACCATTTTTCATGGGACAAATCCACTAGAAATGGTGATTTTCCATAGTTTTTTGTATGTTTACCCAGAGGGTATCTATTTAGGACCGGTTTTTTCAGGTGACCTCGGTTGATCCCCGGAGGCCATTCAGCATCCAATCGACGGTGAGTTGGTGAAGACGGTGAGTTGTGGCTGCACTGATGGGCACTGATCAATGGATTGGTTTAAGGGAAAATTTACAGGAAAGCCCCATATTGAATGGGAAAATCCATGGTTTTTCCCATTAAATATGGGGCTTTCCTGTAAATTTAATGGGAAAATCTATGGTTTCCGGTTAAGATTTTCCCTTAAACCAATCCATTGAACTGATGTTGATGTCTCCTTCATTTTCTTCGGAGGCAAAAAGCGATACATGTAATACTCTTGTTTCACGCAAAAAATGTTGCAGAATTTCAATCTGACCTTTGTCCAAATTCACGGACGCCACATCATCCATTGACATTGAGCCAAATCAATCCAAATCATGCCAAAGAGATCCAAAGAGTTGTGAAATCAAGATGGAAAGAGTTCAAAGAGCTTAAGTCCTTCCGGACTCCAGTCTCCAGACTCTCCAGCCCCCCCTGTCGACGCCGTAGGTCTGTCAACGCGACGTGAAGGACGTCATGGGACCCCTGGCATCGTGGACCTTCTACTGGGACCGCCATGATGAAGGCCCTCATCATCATTACTATTGTTATGTTTTTCTAATCATGATTTTTAGTATCAGTTGTTGTTCATCATTATTGTTTTTGAGTTATTCTTTATTATTGCTGTTGTTGTTATTATTGTTATTATCATTATTATCATTGTTATCATTATCATATATTATCATTATCATATATTATCATTATTATCCTATGATCACTATTACTATTATTGTCAGCTGTTACTATTGCCATTTTTTTACCATTATGTTATTATTGCTATTATTATTGTTATTATTGCTGTAACCCATTTGATAGTGATACCTGGTGATACCTATTGACCAGCCTTATCTCGCTTGTTTGAGATTGGAATATTCCTTCCGGTTCATTTGGGATCCCACAAGAATGGGTCCATGTTGATACAAAGCCAGCAGTCGGTGACGGAAACCGTGACAGCCAGCTGTCCCTGAAAATCTCCGTGGGAAATCAACTGGAACAGAGATTTTACCCTCTGGTAAACCAACATAACTATGGGAAAATCACCATTTTGAATGGGACAACTCACTATTTCGACTGCGCCATTTTCAATAGCTATTTTGACATAACCAGAGGGTAAGTTTCGTTGGGAGGATGAAGTTGAAACATCCAAGTCTTGATTTCTAATGAGTGAACTTACTTAGTTTCCTGCCACGCTGATTTCTAGTGGCCACACATTGGCAGTTTGACAGGTGTTTTCATTGGCAACCGCGGCAGTGGTAAAGGGGCTCGGCCGCCCAGATTCGCAGAAAAACCCTTGGGTGCCAGATGTGCAAAATTCATGGGCCAATACACAAAATGTCCAGGAAAAAGATGATGGGTCCCTTGGTACTTTTATGATTTGATCCATGCCCAATGGCCAAACCCTTTGGTTGATTTTTGGGTCCCGTGAATTTCCGTTACGCCTCTATTTCAAACCCCCATGATGATCGTTTCATGGTTGGCTACATCATTTACACCATTATTCCGTTACACATCATGATGGTTGGCTTTGAGTTTCACATCATGGTGGATATATATATATTATTTAATATATATATATACATATGATCATGGCATTACACTTTAAACATCATAACCTTTATGGGTTTCCCATGAACATTGCCATTCCTTGCTTCAAGTTCTGCATAAAGTCCTGGATCGCATCGCCCAGATCCACGTGGATCAAGTCCTTTGGAGCAATGCCTGCGACCCAGATTACCTTGGCAGAATGGACGCTCATTGTGTTTTGTTGATTACATTATATCAATAATACGTATGTATATATATATACATATATATACATTAGCTATTATATATTATATTATATAAATATATATATTTATATTATCTATATATTGTATTATCTATATATTTTATTATCTATATATTATAACATGTCATGTTATGTTATGTTATGTTATATTATATTGTATTGTATTGTATTATATTATATTATATCATATTATATTATATTATATACTATCTATATATTATTATCTATGTATTATCAATAAATATGATGTATATATATATATTATCAATATGATCTATATACTGCAAATGTTTTAGATCTTAGTTACTATATAGATGATAATATTTGAGATATCTTGTATCAACGAACAGTGACTTTTTCCGAACCATCCTCACTTTAGTTTGGACTTCTTATCAACCTTCATTTCCCACTGGAGGCTGTGTCTCATATATCATACAGTACATTGACAAAACACTATTGTTTCACAGTAAAATCGAAGTCTTTCGGATTTGGTGAAATGATTCAGTCAGAAAAATCCCATCCCCCATATCAAACGCCACCATGATGGTATTCCCTATGTGACATCCCCAGGTGGGAAAGAATTGGCGTGGCTACAAGCTGGTTGCCGCCTGGCCCAAGGGAGCTGTGAGGGACTCAGATCCGGCTGACTCAATCCTGTGGCGTTTTTTTGGGGGGTAGTGATGTGAATGATGTGGGGATGGGTCAAAACCCTATCCCCCTGGTGAACCCCAAAATAGCTGGTAAATGGATGTTCATCCCACTAAAAATGTATCTATAGGTATTGACCTATACCCATGTGTTTGAAAGTTCGTGTTCTCCCATCATTTTTAGGTAAACAAACAGAGCTGCTTTGGCGAAGGTTCAAGGGCGTAAGAGCCGTAAGAGTACCATGAACTGGTGCAATACGAAGCCTGAGAAACCGGTCTGGAATGTGATCTGCTGAATCGTGTCATTCCTTTTGGCCCCAGAAATATTGGGTTACGCAAGAGAAATGGGGCTCAAAATTTTTGTCCAAACCATTTGTTCCCCGGTTCATCGCCTTTCATCGCACGAGGTGAGCAACAGCATTTGCAAAACCTTCGATGATCAGCTCTTCAGCGCCTTGGCCAGTCGAAAGTGCAGCGGTGCTGTGGTGTCCAAAGGAATGAAATCTGATCAATAGTAGTGGTACTAACGTAGTATTTTTGTCATGATTTTCTATTGATGTTTGTTTTTTACCGTATTTTTTTTGTGGATTTTTTGGGCAAATACTTGGGCTCGGTGTCCTGATAGGGGCGATCTGGGTGAAATGAGAAGAGATTACATCCAGACAGTTGTGAAGTCCAATGCTTGGCAAAGTTTTTCTGGGATCATTCGGGATCTCGGTGTTTGCCTTGGTCAACATATATGAAATATACATGTAAATATAGATGATTGATCATGATTTATCATGATTTATACAGTGTATATACAGTGTATACAGTTCCATGCTACAGTTGGGTACATTTTGGGGTCGAAGTCGACTCTGAGGTCCACCTCTTTCGGAGGCCAAGGTGCAAGCCCTCCGTCAGGCGCAGCCGCCTTAGCCGCCCCCCTGGTCCTTGAAGGTCCTTAAAGGCCCTATTAGCCGGGTAAGTGATGAAAGTTCACCGGAGCCCCGAACAAACAAACCTTCCACTTGATGTGGGTATGGATCAATACCTATTAATACCATTTTTAGGGGGATGAACATCCATTTACCAGCTATTTTGGGGTTCACTAGGTACCAGGGTTTTGACCCATCCCCATGTAGAGTCTGGTAGACTCTGGTGTTGAGATTCCCAGAAAACCTCAGGGCCTGGTGCCATGGCAGGCAGCGAAGATCGTTTTGCTTAGACCCGGGGACGTGTACTTCTTCAGCGGCGGAACAGCTCACACGGTGCGTAGCACTGTGCAACATCAACGTTGACTAGTCCATTTGCAGCTCCCCGTTTCGGACATTGTGGCCCATGGTCAACTATATTGAAACGGACCTTCTCACTTATCGCAGATGTTCATAGTTCTGACATGTTTTGACTGTCATTCTAAAAAAATTACACAAAAACTCCTCCCAAACTGGACTTCACCAGATTGCTTTTTCAAATTCCATGGCTATGTTGCGATATGTCCAGACATTTTTCATCATTTTTCGCGATGGCAGGCCTTGTGTGTGTCCGAGGGGATGGGGCTTAGCAGCTACGAATCGATTGTGACGCTGCATCCGGCGGGGAAGCTGGGAAGCTGGATGCTGGCTGACATCAAACTGGCCATTTTGGTGTATCACTTTTGACACAAACATACACAAACACATATATCATGGTGTATACTGTATACATGTGTATACCATATTAAATATGTTTGGTGTATACAGTGTATACCGTACTGTATACCAAAAATATCCAAACATATTTTCAGCGATATGCCTTTCAAAGGCACCAATGATTCCATGACATATTTTGCTGCGAAGATCGGCTGTAGAACGAGGCATATTTGATATCATTGGATCCATAGTTGATATCCTCTGGGTCAAGCATGGATTTCCAAGCTGCAGTGCAGCAACATGAACCAACTGCCTAGAGCCAAGATGATAAAGAAGTGCGGTCAGTAGAACTTTTCCATTCTTCCCACTTCATGGACTCAATATTCAGCATTAGATCACCATCTTAGAGAATTCCATGGAATTTTGCCATTTGGGTAAGATTTAGATCTATCCAACATATCAACATAGCTATACCGGCTGTACTATATCATCTATATCTATATATATATATTATACATATTCTACCATATTTTGGACCGAACCATCCATAAACAGCCCCCCATAGATCTCATGTGCCGCTCCGTCAGCTCCACAGCGGCCTTTGCATGCAAACCTGCGATCGGAGCAGCCCCTGCTGGTGGGAGAAGTGCAGGGGTGTTTTCTCCAGCGTAAAAAAAATGTCCAGATTGAGTCATTGTTTTCCTTCATTCATGACATGAAAATGACATGAAAATGACATTCATGTTCAGGAAAAGATGTTTTGCTGGCAAACTCTTGGGACAACTTTTCGTCTGGCAAGGTTTTTTTGTTTGGTTTTTGGTACTCCGGGATGGTTTTTCAAAGTGACATTCCATGGTCAGGTTGGAAGGTGCAATGCCTCGAGATGAGTTCGAGGACATTTTGGAAGAGGCCATATCCGGAGGTTTTCATCGCCTGGCAGCTGAAAACTGTTGGATCTGTTGGGCAAGCTGGAAAAGAACCAGAAAGGTCCAGGGCCATGTTTTTTTCCCAACAGTTTGAGGGATAGCCAACAATTTGAAGCCAAAAAAATTCTGCTGATCTCCTGATCTCTTGGTTTTTGGCAGTCCGATTCTAGTGGACGGTGGGATCTCCAATCACTTTGTTTTTCCCAGGCTGTAGAGCAATTGGAGGCGGCGGCGAAGCAATTCCTGGAGGCTTGGTGGACTTTCTGGGCTTCAGACTGGACGATTTTTGATGAAATGTACGGAATGTACCGTTTGGCCCCCCCAAAATGAAGAAATCCAACCTTTGTTTTTTTTAAATAAACAAGACATGAGCTAAAGGGTGCCCTTTGTTGTAAATAATTACAGATATGCCAATTTTTGATTGGTTGACGGGCCGGAGTGATGTAGAATTGAATCACCAGCCTTGTAAAGTGCTGGGAAAACTCCAGGCTTTGAATGATCATGCCCAAGCTTGAGATATCTTGCAGAGCTTGGATGTGACCACTAGATATTCTCCGTTGGGTTGTTTAGGCCTTGCAGAGACTGGTTGCTTGCAGTTTGCGTTTATCTTCTCTTGTCATCCCTCATGATGACCATGATGAAGGGCTAAAGTCCAAATGCTGCATTCATGCTAGGAAGCATTAGGAACCAATCGATTGCATCCAAAGCATCGTTTTTCCCACCACCAGCTTGCACATAGTCAAGAAATCCGACCCAGAGACGGAGAACTGCAATAATTGATCATTGCTAGTAATGTGGGTAAAACAATGCCATAAACCACCCATTTCGGAATGGTAAACATACCACCTATAAAAATGGTGATGACATGTGATGACTGGGGGATGGTTTATCAGTGATTTAACTACATGAGTCACCATTCCCTTTTTTTGGCACTCCACCGATTCGACATAGGCCAGCCCTGGTGTGGAGCCCGACTCTAAGGTGGGGCGCTGGAATATGGGTTTGATGGCTTGGTCCCCCAAAATAGGGAAGCCAGGCATTTTTTTCAGCCATGAAACACACCCGGGACAATGAATGGGGAACCGCATCGTCAGACAAAGCCACATATCTCACCTTGGTTCTCGTTACTGGCAACCATTTTCCCATTGGATAATCAGTATTTCAGCCGAAGCATCCAGGATCACAAGCATTTAGGGCATGGTTGTTTTGAATTGTTTCCATTAGTATAGACGTTAGTATAGACATGAGTATAGACATTCATTAGTATAGACATGAGTATAGACATGAGTATAGACATTAGTATAGACATTAGTAGACATCTACAGAGACCTTTTTTGCATCAGTGTTTTGAGCAATTTTTTTCATTGGTGTCGCAGTTTTTCCGCCAGGCCAGTCCCTTTGATCCTCCACTGTGGAGCGAACTGAGATTGCAGCTGAGATCTGATAAGGTCCATTGGTGTGTCAGAAACTGGGGATTTCCCACATATTTAAGGCCACTCAATGGGGAATCTGATGGTTGACCGGTGGATTTAAGAAGTTTCATCAGATTTGATTGACAACTATGAATCAGATCACAGCAGCCATTGGTGTAGTGGTCAACTGCTTGGAGCTGTCAAACAGGGGTCTTCTCAACCCCAAATCAATGACAAGTCATCATGATTTTTTTGGATGACTTGAAGTCCATGGGTCAAGTCATTAGGGTTTGAAATCATTGGAAAAACCCATACACTTGATATATCAGTAGATTCAACATTACAGGAAGCCATGGTGTTTCCAATCATAGGGTTTACCGGTTTACTTGTAAATTTTCTCTTAAATACATTCTTTGATATATTCGATGGTTATCCAGACCTACACACAACATATCTTCAGCATCAAGCTATCCATTTTGGGGGGTTGATAAATTCTGACCCATACCTATATATATATACACACTATATGTACACTATATATATATATAGTATGTACATATATATATATAGTATGTATATATATATACATAGTATGTATATATAAATATAGTGTATATATATACACTATATATAGTATATTATATACACTATATATAGTATGTATATATATATATATATATACACTATATATAGTATGTATATATATATACACTATATATAGTATATCATACACACTATATATAGTATGTATATATATATATAAGTATATATATATATATAAGTATATATATAAGTATATATATATAAGAATATATATATATGTACTATATATATATATCATATCTGTATTATTCTCTGTTCATATATCATTTGATGCTGAAGATTTCGGCTGGCACGCCATCCCGTCCCATTTTCCGATCTTCGGCGCAGGCGACGATGCGCTTGCTGCAGGAACACTTCGCAGCCACCGTGGCGCAATGTCTTTGCAGGTGGGTTACATGGCCATGGCGGCCATGGAAAGCTGAAGTTTTTTGCTGAACATACCTATACTTTCCAGAGATCCAAGACTGACTAACCCAGAATTTCACACTTGCAAGGTTGGGAGGTCATGATATTTTAAAACCTGGTACAGTTAGACTTTGTGATTTGTCTAGTTTCCAGTCCAACATGGCAATGGCATCGAAAATCTTGAGATCTAGGGGATTTCAGATTCCACTCTTCGGGCAAACTGGCAGGAGCCCCTTCGTCCGAGAGAATGCTTCATCCACGCTGAAACGCGCGTTGAGATACCTCACCAATGGCAGAGGAGCGGGTGATGTTTGGGGATCCGCACATCGCCACGAAAGAGGGGGGGAATCGACTAAAAAATTGCCACCGTTTCCCCAAAAAACCATTGGACCCCGCCGTGATCCCTACGCAGTTTGGGCTTTCCGGGCTTGGAAAAAACCCCAGGCTTGGAATCGATGCAATCTCCAGAGCGGTCGCCGTGGAAGCCTCAATGTTCCGTTAGGAATTCCATGGAATCCACTTGTGACTTGACCGAATTGATATGCCCCCCATCTATATCATGACAAGAACATGTGTCTGTTTCACACATGTCTATATACTGTATGACCGTATGTATGTATGTATATATATATATATGTATAGAATCGAATGGACATACCCGTTACCCTCTGGTAAACTAACATAACTATGGAAAATCACCATTTTTAATGGGAAAAATCACTATTTCTATGGCCATTTTCAATAGCTATGTTAGTTTACCAGAGGGTAAGATCCATTAAATCACCATAAAATCCCATTAAAATCCCATTAAAATCCCATTAAAACCCATTAAAATCCCATTAAAATCCCATTAAAACCCATTAAAATCCCATTAAAACCCATTAAAACCCATTAAAATCACCTAAAATCAGGTGGTTTTTGGTCTCATCTCCACAACACCAAGGTCTCGAGAGCCGAGTTCCAGCCGCGCTCCTCCGGACCGTGCAGCGGTGGCAGGGGCACCCCAGTTTCACCGATGTCCAGATGGTGGAGATATTTCTGATGCCAAGAAACATGGATTCAACTGCTTCCTATTTGTCTGATATATATATATACATACATACATATATATATATATTAATTATATATATATATACATATCAGTTATATGAGAGTCATATCCATGTTTGTTTTAGTAGATACCCCACTCACGGGTGCTTTTGCCTTTTTACGTGAACGACGATTCGACGGCCGATGTTCGAGGCGAGACGGCGGTCGAGGAGCCCTTTGCGCAGCACCACCTCCATCTGAGTGCAAACATCTGCTGGATTTGTCGGTAAAAAGGGGCTGCGGGACCTCATTTAACCTCCAATTTTTTGTGGCCATGGGAAACATCATTTAACTATATTTAACTATTGGATTTGGGGCAATTTTCAGACAGATGGTGACCAACATCAACATGTCATGCAGGTGTTCAACATCACCGGCTCCCGACAGCTATGTTTTTTCGTGATTTTTCGGTGGGTTTCATGGTCAAGTTCAATCAAAATCAGGGAGAATGGCTATTGGATTTCGTTGCTGTTGGACATAGCTGGTGTTTGATCCACCAGCTCGACATAGCTCGACCAAGTCTGGTGGGTTTCTGGTCACCATCTGTCGCGAGCTGGCATCCAGAAGACGTGTTGTTGAAGCCAATATGCCACAGGATGGTTTGCAGAGAAGTTGACTTCAAGGGTCCACAGGATGGTGTAGATTGGTGTTGACTGTGGACAAAGCTATTCAGACAAATCTTGATGCAGGTTGATGTGCCAGAACTGTTATTTATTTGTATAGTTGACTTCATGAGCTAAGATGTTGAAGATCACAACATCCTCGGCTAGAGCACAGATCATCAGTGGCAGATGGCAGCGCTTAGACTTCGAGCTTCTCATTTTCTACCTGCCGCCCTTGGTATAGCAACAGTTCGGAAATCAACAGAAGCGGAGAAACCAATGCTTGGGACTTCCGAGAAAAGAGGAAACTCGTCCCGTGTGTTCAAAGACCCTTATCGTTGCCAGTGAAGTGCTTGGGCTAAAAAGGATGCTTCGTGCGTTTGCACCTTCAGCATCTCTGTTCAAAGTTGGGGTTGAAGCCCTGATCAAGCAAAAGCCAGCAGATTGGCGGATTCGGATTGGTGATTGATGTGATTGGCATTTGTTGGAACAAGGGATTAAGAAACGCATCCAATTTCTGAGGTACCCTCTGGTTAACATAGCCATGGGAAATGGCCCATTTATAGATGGTTTACCTAGCTAAAAAATGGTGATTTTCCATGGCTATGTTAAATAACCAGATGGTACATTCAAAAAAGGTACCCTTGCCATCCACTCGTTCATCATCTTGAAACGGTCAGCTTTCAACAGCGCTGCGCAGGTCGAGGCCCGTGGTGAAGCCTCCACCCGTGCGGGCCTGATTTTTTTGAGCAGTGCTTTTTACCCCTGTTGGCTGATTATAGGGGAATATACTAGCCAAATCTAGCCAATATATTGGGGAATATCATGATCTTTATAAACTTTTATAATCCATTTTCATAATCCAGTATCATAATCCATGGTGGACTCCTTATTAACCAGGCAGTTTTGAAAGGGACGAGCGAGTCTTTCGGATACTGTGCTGATATTGTTTCTTTGCCAATTGCATTTGCTGTGGTTGGATCTGTATATCTTTGTATATCCCTGCGTTGCCACTCGGTTGCCATTTGGATAGAAGCCTCCTATCCCAGGAATACCTAAACCTCTTTTTTTTTCGGAATCTGCATCCAAACATCTCCATGGGTTCAGCTGGGAACTCCATGGTGTAGCCAAGGTGAAGGACATTCCCATCGAAGCTTGTCAGTGGCAGTATATGGACACCAAAGGCAATCTGCAGGCGCAGAACAGGAAGAGATTGGCATTTTTTGGGGTCCCGCTTCAGTGAAATGGCTATGAGATCCACATAAATCCAAATAATGGGTCTTGGGATATGAACCAGAAACAACAGATGTGGAATGATGGGGAAATATGATATTTCACCATCAAACAGAGAGAATCACTTGATACACTGTAATTTGTGTTTTTCTTGGATGTATTGTCAGAAAACGGGTGGATATATATATATATAATTAATATAATATAATATAATATAGTATAATATAATGTAATATAATATAATATAGTATAGTGTAATACAATATAATATGATATGATATTATACTATATTATATGATATTATATTATATTATATTATACTATATTATATTATATTATATTATATTATTAACCAATTATATTATTAACCAAAACCGTACATACCACAACCACATGTTAGGTACAGGTCAAAATTTGTCTGACCTAGGCGTGAGCAGATGGGCAGCTCAATTTTATGATTCACCGATACAGCATACGACTGTTGGGGTACTTCATTCTTGCCCCACAATCAAAACACATCCAAGAAATGATTCGGAAGAAAACTAAGTTAACTAAGTTGCTTGTTTTTTCATCAGACATATTTTTTCTGATGATTTTCTGGTTACTGAATGGTGGCATTTTTCATGTTGGCTTTGGTATAACTTCTGAGCCAAGAGTCCTGATGCCGCTGATGCCGACTTTCTGGCAGGGTCCTTTCTCATCCCATCAGATGGCTCTGTGGCCGGGCTCTGAGATCACCCACGGTGATGTCATGGATTTTTTTTCATGGAAAATCCATGTGGCTATCCGTTTCATGATGACTCTAAAGCTAAAACAGATGACTCTACGGACTGATGACCGTTTGATTTCTTTGATTTGTTTGATTTGTTTGATTTGGGGTCCCATTGATCTGATTGATCTTGCAGCTTTTGGTCTACCAAGTTTTCTAGTGTAATTCTCCTTGATCCTATTGCAAGATTGACTCAGGAACCAGCACAACATGCTGCCCAAGACTTTGCGCTTACGTCGGACCATCGACACCGCCTTCAGCACCGTGGACGAGTGATCCAGCAAATCCTTGGAAATGATTTCCCTTCCTCTGTTGTTAGATTGTAAAATAGTGGTCCAATAAAACATGAGTCCGCAACAGTAGACATGTTTTGATCTGCGGAGATGTTTTTTTGGATCCAACGGAAGACATTGAAGAACATGACCCTTTTTTGGTCCCCAGAATTGCTCTGAGGGAGAACTTGCAGGAAAACATCCCTTTCTGTATTTGATGGTTTGCCTCACAGTTTCCCAAAATGATCAACGGCCGAATTCCGTTGGCCCGGCCAGGTACTTTCCAGCACCATCCACAGCTTTCAAATCTCAACCGGTTGTACCTGCTGCGAATGCGGGGAAGGCTCCTGTGATGATCTCCCTGATTGGGGGTTGAAATCACCGCTCCCGTGGGATTTTCTGGGCCCTGATTTAGCGGTCCATCGTACGATATGACATACTTCACGCGCAAAAAATGGGCGACCTCAAACATTTTGCCATTCAAAGTACAGGGATGCCTTTTCTAGCAGAAGAGCATCAATTCATCGAGTGACGACAATTGTTTCCTCCCTTGGGTGACAAAAAGATTCGGTCAATCATTCAGAAATTCGCTCCGCAGGCATCGTACGAGACCCCCAAGCCTGCAGAAAAAAGGCGAGGGAACCTTTGAAGATGTGCCATGAATTTGCGATTCCCAAGCTGAAAGCTCTCAGTTGAAGAAGTTTGAGTTTTTTGGTTACAAGTGCATCAGAAAATATGCCATATGCACCGTACCCTCTGGTAATTTAACATAGCTATTGAACATGGTGATTTATAGTGGATTTACCCATTGAAAATGGTGATTTTCATAGTTATGTTAGTTTGCCAGAGGGTAATTCCAACAGATGATCTTCAATTTTTCACATCTTTTTTTCCCAGTGCCAGGCCCAATGTGGCTCCACCCAAGGCCTTTCCAAAGTCTGTTCACTTTGGAGCGGTCGCCATTTGTAGATGATGTTTGTTGATTTTCCATGAGTTTCGAATGTGGATTTTCCAGGGAAATTCATGGAATTTCACAGAAATTTTCACAGACATTTTCACAGACATTTTCCAGTTTTCCCTCATGTTTGACACTGCACATAGAGGTACCAGGTATCTTTATTGGATATCAATCAGCTTGCACCAAAATGGCAGGTATCGGCAGATGCAGCTTTGGCCAACTTGGTGGGGCGCTGAGATTGAAACCGCCAGGAATTTCAATGTGATTTCTTTTTTTTAAGTATATATATATATATATATCTATTTTCAGATTTTTAATGAAAATTTCTCAACATTCTGAACTTTTCTTTGTCAGTTTTATTTTATTTTAGGTTGCTTAAGGTTCAAAGTTCAAAGATTCCCCATCTTTCAGTAAAAAAACAGTGCCCATATGTTTGCTCATGTTGGAATTTTCTCAATATCACCATTTCTGTTACACACTTAGCATCGATTTTCTGTTAAAATGCAGCCCAATCCTTCCTTGATTAAGCAAGCCAATTTTGTTGCTTAAACCAACAAGTTTCTGCTACTTAAAACAATGGGAGCCGCCCATTCCATCCACTTGTAAATAATCATTTTTCTTCCACTATACACTCATCTCACTATATCCCCATCAAATGGTAAGTCATTATCTCCTATATATATATATCCCGTTTATGGTTGGTTATATCCCAGAGAATAGTCCCAAAAAAGCTCCCTGGCCAAATGGCCGTTGATTCCTCCACTATTCATCAAAGTCTTTAGAGAAATAATGGGAGATAACCTCAACATGCCCATCATATTCCCATTGGGAATATCATATTCCCACGCAACTCAAAAATAGATGTCCCCCAAAAAGTCCCCTGCTCCTCTGCCAAGTTATATCTCATTACATAATTCCCATGAAAACTAGAAACTGTATGAACTATATCACCTCTGTGCTTAATATCATGTGGCCATTGGGTTAACATCAACTACAACCTGACAAAATCTAATGATTAGAATCAAGTGCATCACCTTTGGGATTCAATATTGGCTAAGTCAACACACATCACCAGACTATAACATCAACAAAATCACCATTGGGTGCAGCGAACATCACCACTTCAGAATACTTACCCACAGTGGCATTACAATGTGTATATAAACAATCATTAACCATTACTATGTATATAACAACAATTAATCACTAGGAATGATTAACAATTATTATCAGTATATATTAAACAATATACTCTGATAGTAATGGTAATATATTAGTAATCATATACTGATATTAATATTGAATGGTAATATATCATAGGGTTTATATATATATATTGTATTACCCTCTGGTAAACTAACATAGCGGTTGAAAATCACAATTTTTAGCGGGTAAATCAACTATAAATCACCATTTTCAATAGCAATCTGTTAGTCATAACCAGAGGGTAAGATCCATTAAATCACCATTAAAATCCCATTAAAATCCCATTAAGACCCCATTAAAACCACCTAAACAGGGGGCCAAAGGCATCATCTCTGCCGTCCCAGGGGCCTTTGGCTTCCCTCTTCGCCAACGCCACAGCCGCGGCACATGCCAGCGCTCAGCAGGCGATGTCGCAGGCGATGACGCAGCCGAGGGGCACCAGGATGCCAGGAGGTTGGAAGCCATGGCCCATAGGAAAATGGTGGTTTTAATGGGAAAACCATAGGAAAACCATAGTAAAACCATAGAAATAGATGGTTTACCGGTTTACCCTCTGGTTATGTCAAAATAGCTATTGAAAATGGCCATAGAAATAGTGACTTTTCCCATGAAAAATGGTGATTTTCCATAGTTTTTTGTATGTTTACCAGAGGGTAATAGCATGGTTGGTTACCCTCTGGTAAACATACAAAACACTATGGAAAATCACATTGTTCATGGGACAATTCCACCATAGATGGTGATTTTCCATGGCAATGTTAGTCATAACCAGATGGTACATATCCAACATATCCAACATATCCATGAAAACTTGTCAATGAACATCATTTCACTCTGAACAGTCTGAACATTTTTTTTTCCAACAAAGAGTGCGGTTCAATACAGCCAAAAAATATGCGTGTCTGTTTTTCCATGCTGAGCGGAAGAGTGACTTCGGGTCAAATGAAGTATCCGAACCCCAAAATCAGTAGAGACGTTGGAAACAAGTGAGGCATTTTGAAGGTCGGAGAAACGTTTTTCTATTTTTTTCAGATCTCCCTCTACTCCAGGTTTCAAGTTTTGTAGCTTCAGTGTAAGAAAATCTGTGATGTGCAAGGCGGTGAAGAAAGGTGAGAAGGGTGAGAAGGGTGAGAAGGGTGAGAAGGGTGAGAAGGTTGGCAGCGGGGCTCTGGCTGAGAGGAAAAGTCTTTTAAATCCCATTAAAACCCATTAAATCACCATGATATCCCATTAAATCATCATTAAATCATGAACTTCCTGAGAAGAGGAATCAAGTGAATCCACTGAATCAACTGAATCAACGGCCATTTCTCCCGGTTTTTGCACTGAATCAACGGCCATTCCCAGAAGGCTCCCGGATTCGACCGCCCAGGGCAAAGGAAAGGCTCGGGAGGAGGGCGACCATCCCAGACAGGGGCGTGGGAAGGCGAAAGAGAAGGCTGGAGAGCAGGGATGGGGATGGGTCCGGATGGGTTTCTGGGGGATTTTTCGGATTTTTCTGGAGAATCTACACATTGTGACCGCCTTATTTCTTTACTGCGACAGACATAATTTTGGATGACAATATATGATCATGGTGTGCTGCTAAGGAAGTTTTCTTCGATCCGATGATGCATTGATTCAAGTGAAAATTCATCATATTTCATAGGAAACTGATGGGTTTGTACCATCGACATTTCGTGTGGTTTCAGTAAAAGTTCCCTTCACCAAGTGAGAAAACCTTATATATATATGATATATATATATATGATATATATATATATGATATATATATATGATATATATATATATATGATATATATATATATATATATGATATATATATATGATATATACATATATATATATGATATATATATATGATATGATATATATATATGATATATATATATATATGATATGATATATATATATATATGATATATATATATATATTAGATGAACCACAATAATCCCTATGATTATATTATGATTATATTATGTATTCTTCAGGGTGTTTTGGGATGTGGATGATCCCCAGAAATTTTCAGCCGACGGCCCCACGGCCAGCCGAAAACCAGAGGCTGAAGCCCAGAACAATGGCTGGAGCTGGCCCGGATTCCCTGATTCGGGGCTGGCTGGATTTTTGCTTCGTTGGGGAGCATTTTAAAGGTCTTTTCCATAGCCAATGAAGATCATTTTCGTTGTGGATTGCGGGCCTTGAGCCTTAACATCCTGGAAATTTGACCTGCAAAGCCCGAGATGTTCATCTCACGATGATTCGTCACTTGGGTCATGGGTTTATTTACTCCATTGACCGGAAAGAGACACTGAAAATTGTAGTCTTCAGTCATCATCCAGATGATTTAATTAGTTTGATTCAACTAATGGGAACTAATGGGAACTTTACCCTCTGGTAATTTAACATAGCTATCAAAAATGACCATTTATAGTGAGTTTTCCCATTAAAAATGGTGATTTTCCATAGTTATGTTAGTTTACCAGAGGGTAATTTGATCGGAAAAACGGATGTAGCAGCGGCTGAGGTCAGCAGAACATGGCTGGACCAACGATAAGGCGGTGTGTCTCTGTTGATTCTCTGGGAAACTGACGATGTTTTCATACATTTTTGATGTCGTTTTTCACGTTTCTCAGATTGGATCATGATGATGATGATGATGATGATGATGATGATGATGATGATGATGATGATGATTGACCAGATGCATTGATCATCAGGATTGATGCTTGAAGTTAAACTAAGTTGATTTGTTCTTGATATTTCGATATTTCAACGGAGTCCGTTACAAAGTGACTCCATTGCTCTTGCTTCACGGCCAGTCCTGGTGGGAATGGTCCGCATGGAATGGCTGGGAGACAGAGAATTGGGAGAATGGCAAGCACAGCCTGGGAGCGCAGATCGAAGTCGTGACGGCCAGAGGGGATCCATAGAACACAGAAAAAGGTGGCACATTTTCAACACAGAATATCTGAACGTTCAGTTCAGATCAGTTGGCTGATTTTCTTGGTATTCCATGAGCTATTCCATGAACGCACATCTTGATGGACTCAGTTCAGAACAGTTTACCCCGCTGCCTCCCTAAGGTGAGTGGAAATCTGAAAGCCCGGGGAAGGAGAAGGGCGAGAAGGGCGTGACAGCCGTTCAGGTTAGGATTCAACTGGTTGAAGAACTGGTTGAAGAACGGGTTGCGATGGGCTACGGGTGAAGCTTTTCATGGCCGAATCAAGTTTCTGGAAGTTGCTGAGACGCCAAGAAGTGTTTTTGACCATTCAGAATGGCCTGATCTCCAGGTCCATGTTGTGGTTTTCAAGCCAGAAAATAGAAGGTACTGAGTTGAGAAACATAAGCCATAAGCCAATTATTAGAAACATTTGAACACAAAGCTGCATCTCTGTGCACCAGGCAGCTTTCGGCAGCTTGAACTGGGGTCCACCCTTTAAGGTGCAAGCTTGTTCCGTGTCGCTTGTTCCGCGCCATTCTGCTCCATTTAGATGTGAGAACTGGGTGAAAAACATCGAGTCGAGACTGCAATGGTTGGAACCAATTTGTTCGGATAGGGCAAGTCCTTGATCTGTTCGGTTTATCCCAGAAGAGTTCTGGGATAAAGCGAATTTTCTCCAGCCCCGGCCCAGGATGTGGACCTATTTCCCGAGGATCCTCTCCGCCGTGTGCTGGATGAGGGCATCGTGTGGGAGGACGCGTTCCATGGGAAAGTCTTCCATGAAGATATCCAGCTACGATTTATTTGGGTGACTTATCATGAGTCCATAGAGAAGGGGCTTGATGCACCACTTGCAGACGATGGGTTTTTTACAAAACATGCTGGATACTATGTCCCAACTAAAGATATTATGGCTTAATATTACAAATTACTGGGTTTCATGTCCAACTAAAGCTACCTCAGACGGCCTGGAACCAGCTTCGCACTCCAGGAACGGTGGATCTCTCCGCTGGCTGTGCGTTTTTCACAGGGGAAGATTCATCCCTTCTTCCACGAGCGGGGACCCATCTCCGAGGTTCGCCGTGGTCAAAAGGGCATCTGGTGTCGGTGGATGCAGCTGTTTTTCTTTTCTCATCTTTCGGGTGATACAAAAAAACAGCCACAGCTGACTGACTTTTCTCATGCGAAAATTGATGTTTGGTGCTTTTGAAGCCCAGCTTTGCTTCTAAGCCCTTTGCACATTTTGATCCAACTGTTGGATCAACTGTATGGGGTACCACCTTTGGCTTTTTCAGATCCAAGTTTCTGCAGTGTTCTGGTCACTGGTTTCTGTGTTTATTTCCCTTAGTGACGTCTTAGATCTTTTGTGTTCAAACGCATTTGGATCCATTTCCGGGGAACTCTGAAGGTCATGAGTCAAATGAAGTTCAAGACAGAAGATGGCAAGCGCATCAAGCGGGGGAGCCATGCGGAGCCATGCGGAGCCTGATCATCTGATCACTGTTGAGTGGTCATGTGAGTCTTTTCCTGGGATTTTCCAGGCTCATGCCAGCAAAGATCTTGGCTTCGTGGGAGTGCAGAATCCATCAAACAGACGTACATGATTTTTGTCACGTGGTTGATAGGTAACAATTAGGTAACATGCATCTACGCCAATCTACGCTACGTTTGTCGACGTTTGAGGCGCATTGATCCACCTTTTCCGCCCATTCGGCTGTTGCATCTGAAAGAGCAGGCCGGAAATCAGTGCCACATGGCGAATGCCTTCGTCGTTTTCAAAGTTTGGTTGGTGAAGAGCACCAAAATGTGTCTTGACTTCTGGCCAGTTGTGATTGCACTTATTTGTGACCTAATTTTTGCCGTGTTTTGAGATTCTAAACGTTTTTCCGCATATTTTCCAGGTCATTCCCCACCCTCTCAACCCTGAGACTCGAGCCTCACCATCACATTCCGAACGCAGCAGGGCGTCCTGGTCACGTTGGACAATCGGCGCCTATACGCGCTGCAGCGTTTTGCTCTTCAGGAGGGAAGCGTCGCTCTGGCCTTGCGGATTCGAGATTTGACATTGCTATGATAGATATTGATATCTGATATAGATCATAGAATTATAGATGACTTCTGATGTATGATATTTATGAGTTATCTATCTAGATTTATAGACATTATTGAGATGGCTTAAGTCTTTTCAGGATTGTTGCAGTTGAGAGCCAACTTGACTCCAACATTCATGGAACCCATGGAGTAACAGCAGCAACCCCCGCATTTTGTTGGTGAAATCTACTCGGAAAGGCAACATCGAAGCACAAATTCCCGATTTTTTGGATGTCGACATGTGCCCAAAGCCCAAAGTCCCGATTTGACTAGCTGACTAGCTGGTTTCAACCGATGTTCTATTTTCAGGAGAATTCCCAACCACATTTTCAACAGGAGGTCAGCAAAAGCACCTTTTCCAGGAATGGCCGACTCCTTGTTTGGTGCGGGCACTCTGTGTGGATGAGCTGACACCTACGAGGTGCGCAAATTTGCCCAATATGGGGCTACCAATGGATGGTGATATGGTTAGTATCACCCACTAACCATCGAAATTGGGGGGAACCCACTTGAGCCATACCCAGTTTTGGTAGAGTCTATACTTATCATAAGTTACTTATGATTCTCTTATGATCATTTTTATGGGGAGGTAGGCGATATCAGTGGCCATAGTGCCATAGTTGTTGATCTATTTGTATGATCATAAATGGGATGATCATTTGAATAGGACAAACTTACCCTCTGGTAATTTAACATAGCTATTGAAAATGGCTATTTATAGTGGATTTTCCAATTAACAATTGTGATTTTCCATAGTTTTTTGTATGTTTACCAGAGGGTATTTTGGTGATTTCTGATTTGTCTATGGATTGGATCCTATCCATTCTCCATGGAAGGACTGCCGTTTTTTTTTGGCACGGCCAGAGTTGGTTGGAGTGACAACGGTAAACCCACCAAACTTGGCGGGAAGCCTTGGAAAGAACTCAAGAGTAATGGGTAATGGGTCAAGAATGGGTACCATCTGGTTATGACTAACAGTTCGCCATGGAAAATCACCATTTTATAGCTAGGTAAACCATCTATTTCGATTAGGGCCATCTATACCATGGCAAACTGTTAGTCATAACCAGAGGGTAACTACTCCATCAAAGTCGGTTATATCCAGATCAACATGTGATCAACATGTGATCAACACGACACTGACGTGGCCGATCCTCAGCCATGTGACCCAGCACTGGAGCCTCTTTGGAGCCTCGAATTGCCATGTTGGAAGCTGTCGACCATGGTTTGGACCGAGAGATTCTGGGAGAACGGAAATCCTTGGCGCGGAGCGTACCTGGGACACGATCTTCAGCCTACAGCTGGTTGGTGAATGTTGGATGTTGAGTCAACATTTCATGGTGAGTTCTTTCGGCATCTGAGCTTAGGGTATCATCATTCCTGTTTGATCCAAAGGCTGTAAACACAGTCACGGCCGTAGACCTATGACGATTATAAAAGACCAACCACCAAGGCCATTCGGAAGTTTTAAGCATCGCCAGGTCTTGTTGGAGCTCCGTGAGATCGCGAAACTGGGGGTACCACTGGCCTTGTCCTCGGCCAGTGGAAATCTCAATATGTTGGTCAGCAGTGTGTTGCTGGGCCGCTTAGACACCATTGCCCTGGCTGCCGTGTCGGTCGCTGGGATCTGGACCAGTGTGACGGACGTGCTCTTTTTCGCGGGGAGCCACGGATGGAACGAGTTAAAATGGCACATTTTTGATGTTTTGGGAACTGGACATTGTTGGGAACTGAGCTTTCTTCAAAATCTCTTTGTTTGACCAAAAAGTGTGGAAAGATGTTAGTGACTGTTAGTGGAGTGTCACTAGATGTCACGGATGTGTCACTGCAGTGACTCTAGGATCGGACAATTGTCCATGTTCTGCAGTCAAGCGTATGGAGCTGGCAACTATGCATTGGTGGGCTCTTTGGCCGAAATCTGCGTCGTGTTCTCCATGTGATGTTTGGATTGGTTGCAGAAAATCAAACTCAATGAGTCAATGAGTGATTTTTTGAGTGGGCTGGTTTTTTGCTGAATATGGCTGACTTTGGAATTTGATGGAATTTGCCCAGGTACGTGGTTGCAGATTTATTTAGTCTTCGTCACCGTTGCTGGGATTCCCTTCATGCTGCTGCGATTTCTCACGACTCCGATTCTGTTGACCTTTCATCTCCATCATGATGTCGCGGTCACTGCAGGGGTGTATACCATCTGGTCGCAAGCAGGTTTTCTCTTCGATGTTTGGTATAACTCCATCAAGGAATACTATGCAGCACAGCAGATCACCATGCCAGCAGCTGTTGTTGATGCGATCTTCGTGGTGGTGAATTTCCTATTGACATATGTGGCAGTCTTCCCTCTGAAGGGCGGCATCATTGGTGCAGCCTTGGCTTTCTGTACAGCGAAACTTCTACGATCCTTGGAGTCGAAGTGAGCCAGATATGGCTATGGATCAATACCTATAAGTACCATTTTTAGGGGGATGAACATCCATAAATCCCAGCTATTTTGAGGTTCACCAGGGGTACAAGGTTTTGACCCATCCCCATATGAAGATGCTTCAAGTATGGCCTAGATTCCCCCTGGCAGTTCATTTTTTTTTACAAAGCCGTGCTGTGTAGAGTTCGGTTGAGCCAGGAACCATCACCTACATCTTGGTCTGCTGGAGCAAGGGCTACCACAAACGCACCTGGCCCGGCTGGTCCTACAAGGAGTGCGTTTGATGCTACGGTCACCGTATGGAAAACGTCCAGAAAAATCCACTCTGCTAAGAGTTCTGTTTTGGAATCCGAGCTCCAAAAAAGCGGTGCGTGTTCTTTTTTTTCACCATCCAACTTGACTTTTGTTTGAAAGACTTACTGTTCACTATGTTGGATTTGCTGTTTTTTTGTTGGAAGTCCAAAGTCAACAGCTGGATCCCTGGGTTCCGCAGGAGATTTTGGTGGCTGAGCGATGGCGGCGACTATTGGCCATGACCATCCCTGCAGCTATTGGTGGTTTGGCCGAAGAATTGCAGTTCCAGGTGCGGTCGAATCGTTCAATGGGGTGGGGAAGAGTTAAAAGGTTAGGAAACTATGGGTTAGAACTATGGAAAACCATGGGAAAATCTGGGATTTCACTTCTATTTGCAAAACATCCATGTAACTTGGGCTGAATCGCTGCGTGTGATGTGGTGGACTGTTGATTCTTTAGCATTGCCACAGGATGTGTTTGGACTAGCGAAAGAGATGCACGAGCAAATGAGCCTTCTGAATGCGGAATGAAATACATTGGACACGTTTTTTTTCCATCCCTTGATATGACATGATACATGGTGATACAGTGATATATGAAATATTATGAAATGCCCTGTTTGAATCTCCAACTATCATATCTATCAGAAACTTGTGCAGTGAGAATCTAAACTGGCCAGTTTTTCTCATCCACTCCGATGCACTTTTCAAAGCTTACGCACCGCGGCAGGTTTGCACTCTGATGGCAGGGGAGATAGGGCCCGCCGAAACAGCAGCATTTAACCTGGTATCGTGGTGGCAATTTATCTGAGATGTTTGAGATCTGAAGCCTGGGAACAAAGTTGGTCCCACATCACCAAGAATACATGGGATGAAAGCATTTTAGATATCATGTTTTCAGCTGAAAAAGTCTCTCAGCATGCAAGTGATTTTGTTGCGTTGAACTATTGTCCCCTGAATTTTGTTTCTACGAGTGGTTTCAAAACCTCACGAAGTTCCGAGACATCAAACCACCATATTTTTTTGACGAGTTGTTTTTTCTAACCTCACAAAACTTTGGCATTCTACATTTTTGGTACATCTTTGTTCGTGTCTCAAACCTCACGTGCTTTTCTCAAGTTGTTTTCTTCAAACCTCAAGTTGGTAACATGTGATGACGAACTCTAGGACTTAGGCTTTCCCGGCTTTCCCCTTAGAGACATCCCCATCAGGTGATGACTGTGCTGATTTTGGCTTTCCTGTTTTCCATGGCCATGGGTGACAGCGTCGGCATCCGCATGGCCAAGAGTCTGGGTGAGGGCCGTGCGCAGGGCGCCGCCTTCGTGGCACGCCTGGGGATCATCGTCTCGGTGATTGGGGGCGTGGTCATTGCAGGCCGGGCAGGGGGAAAACTCATGGGGGAACAGTGTTTTCCCAATGGGAAACCCATGGGAAAACCATTTGGGACGTGGAGAACAGTGTCCCAGCATCCAACATCCATGGAGTTTTCTGGATTTTTTTTTGGGGATTTTGACCAACACCAGGGATGACACGGCTGCATAAGAAATGCTTGTTTAGAAACGGTACAACATGAGTGGTGGTTGATAGTGATTTGATTCTCCAAGGAAACATGGAGATTGAACCAATTTCGATTTGTGAGTCTTGCAAGCTTAAACCGCACATTTTATGGGTAAAACCAGGTATGTGGGGATACAATCAACGATATGGGGAACCATGACATGGGTTTGTCTAGAGCATGAGGATTCCGTTCCAGTTTGTGGCAATTTCAATGAGGAAACTGATGAATAACATTGCTTCTGGACAAATCACCATGCTATCTTTATCTATTTTATCTGCTTTGCTGGTGATTGGTGATTCCATTTTTTTTGCGACAGGGAATTGATCCCAATTTACTGATATGTTTCCAGGGGTGCAAAGAGGGACTTTTCCAGGCAGCAACATTCAAATAAACCCGCAAATATCATTTCTTCGTAGATTTCTCTGGTTTCTTCATTATCTCGTGAGTTTGCTGTAAAGATATGGGAGTCTCGCGAAGAAACAACAGGCTTGCCCCCCAGCCAAAGTGAGACCATCCCTGGATCTCAGATGTTTCGGTTGTGACCCATCAGAATCGATAGGGGGAATGGTATCAATCATGGCACAGATGATCACCATACAATCAATGGCCATTTCAGAAACCTAAATTGGAGGTACCTACATAAGGCCTATTTTTTAGGCCTTAGTTTCAGGGAATATCCCCACAAAATATGGCCTAACATATGGTACTAACGTACCTCCATTTTAGGATCCTGGATTTCCCATTGATTACAAGATGGGGATCAATCTGTGCTGGCCAGGATTCGTCTGTGTGCTGATGCCGGCGGTGGTGCCACTGATGTCCAAGGACCGGGAATAGATGGGCATAGCGGCATAGCGGCATAGCTCTACGTGCGGGACATTGGACATTGGACATGGCCAAAATTCTGCACTTCGTAGTATATTAGAGTTATATGAAAATTATATGAATCATCCATGCTTGGGGCATTTTGGGTGGGTTGACAAATTTTGCCGCGTCCGCGTCCCCAAAGTATTTCCAAAACGGTTTCATCTTAAGAATCCGCTGGCCTTGTGGTCCCTATTGGGCAAAAAAGATTATCTGCTTGGTGGTTTGGAACATTTGGATTATTTTTCCATCTATTGGGAATGTCATCATCCCAACAGACGATTCATCCATCATTTTTCAGAGGGGTAGCTCAAAATCACCAAGCAGTTGTGAAGCAGTGGGACCTAGTAGGACCCAGTAGTTCAAGATCAGATGATTCGACTGCGTTGGACGGGCACAGTGACCATAGCATTGATTGGTGGAGTTCTCCCTGTGGTCACCGTGACTCAGCTCGGTAGACCTTTCACCACCTGTGAAGTCTGTGGGAAGTGTTGGGATGCTGAGATTTTCCGGCCCCCCAAATGGGTATGGGTCAATAGCTATATACATTTTTAGTGGGATGAACATCCATTTACCAGCTATTTTGATGTTCACCAGGGGTACAAGGTTTTGACCCATCCCCAAATGTCAAATCCTCATGGGTTTTTCCAGAAGTTTCACCACCTTTTTGGTGCGTGACTTGGAAAATCCTCTGGAAAGTGGGGCCAAGTTTTGGGGGTCCTGATTCCCATCAAACTCCCAGACCAACTAAGGTGTTGACCAAGCAGGGCCGCACGAAAATCGTGAGCATCACCCTACCAGTGTGCTGTTGGTTGACAGGCTTCCCCTGTAGCTACTTCTTGGGAAGGGCTTATGGCTTGCTTGGTATCTGTGAAGGGCTCATCATTGGCTATTCACTGGTACCTCGGCATGATCCGATGATCCTGGTCGGTTGTCAAGGAGTCTCACCTTCTGGTGTCTTCGGCCTCAGAGGGAAGTGTAACACGCAGCATCTCTAAAAGCCCTTCCCGCAGGTTAAATGCAGCATTTCCTGCCTAAAAACTGAGAAGCTGGTGCCATTTGTCCCAGGTTCAGTTGCATTTTTGAACAAACTGCAGAGTTTCAACAGGGAAGAAAATGAGCATCAAGGTCAATCAAGGCCACATTGGTGAAAGTTATCGTTATCCAAACGATCCCCAAAGCTCCCCAAATGGCAGTGTGTCAAAACCTTGTACCCCTGTAGTTCACATCAAAATAGCTGGTAAATGGATGTTCATCCCACTAAAAATGATATTAATAGGTATTGATCCATACCCAAATATCTTTTGCAGTTTCCATTTCTTCCAACTGTGCCACTGCGCGAGATTTTTTCATGTCCGTGATCTTCAGTCGATTCTCAGTCGATTCGAGGCCTGCGTTTGTTTGATGATCGCCTTTGCTCGTTCCGACTGGCCCCAGCTGGCCCGCGATGCGCAACGCAGGGCGGAGGTCGAGCAGCTGCAGGTCGATGAGGTCGATGAGGTCGACGCGAACGTTGCGAACGTGGCGGCGAACGAGGTAAACCTGGAGGTGACTAGCTGAGAAGCCAGCAGCAATGGATGAGCAATGCCTGAGCAGCTGAGATCAGAGGATGCTTGTTGAGTAATCAGATGGGGAAACGAGTGGTCTAATTAAGTCGGTTCTGGTTAAGCATGAAGGCATCAAAAAGATGGCGACCGTTTGATGGAATTTCATCCAGAAATGATGGTTGTTGATTTGGCATTCAGCAACTAGGAATCGATCGTGACACACTGAGGAAGATTCTTTGTGAACCAACCTTTTTGGGGGGCTTGAAGGCTTTGGGCCACTGCTCAGCGGCTGCGTGCTGCAGCTGGCAGCCCTGTACATATGGATCAGTCCTGGTTTCAATCCAAACAGCTTCCTCATCCCATGTGGGGTCCTGCTAAGCAGAGGCACAAAAAGACGAGCTGCCCACGTGGTTATCATGGTATCATGTCTTCCAAACCCAGCTCGCTGTATTTGACCCTGGAAAATCTATGCTTTCTCCATGGATTGGATCTTGGAGAAAAAGCTGCCAGGCTACGTGCTGAGAACCGGAAATTCACCAACCGCCTCTGTGGGTTGCAGTTGGAGGCGAGGGTGTTTTCATGTGTTTTCATTGTAGCCATTGTTTCATGGGGAACATGATGAGAAGTCTTGATTCACCATGAAACACAATTGAAGTACTCTATTCTCAGACACACATCTATATTGATTTCACTTAGAACATGGAGGGTTGATTGGCGAGATATTTTGGAATGCCATTTTGATAGGTGTACATCAAATTAGCCATTAGCACATTTGCTGATATTTGATTAAGATATACATGATATTTTTTCGGGGGCTGGGTCGTTCAGCATCTAAGATTAGCCATCGGGAGATTACTGTTGGTGGTTGGTAGGTAGAGCGGTTTCTTTCCCCTGGCATTTTCAAGAGGGGAATTTTTAGCGACAACATTCAGAAAAAACCGTGGACCAGATGACTTTGTTTCAACATCTAGGTTCTTTTAATTTTGGATCAGACATCCAGAGATATTGAAAACACATTCATAGAAACATAAAAAGCAAACAACGAAACACAGCGTCCGTATTTTCATTACCTTCTGGTAAACTAACATGACTATGGAACATCACAATTTTTTCTGGGTAAATCAACTATAACTGGCCATTTTCAATAGCAAACTGTTTGTTTACCAGAGGGTAAGATCCATTAAATCACCATAAAATCCCATTAAAATCCCATTAAAATCCCATTAAAATCCCATTAAAACCCCATTAAAATCCCATTAAAACCCATTAAAATCACCTAAAATCAGAGGGTAGATTTGCAGTTCCAGGTTGAGAGCCGCAGCAATGCTTTCGATACTTTCAGCTGGGTCACTGAGGCGGGTTTGTCTTGGGACCACCATGATCTCAGGGCCACCATGACTGGGCATTCCAACCACCAAACGCAGAGATTCACCAAGAAAGATGCGGGTTTAAGCAAGAGAAATGGACAAAATAGGGATACATATGATATCTTGATGTATATAATATTACAAACAAAAAAAGATGTTTCACTCTCAAAGGAATGGGGAGAACTTGAAGAAAGCTCCAGGCAGCTCATACAGAAGCTGCACGTTTTTGCCGTCCTGTGGCGCTCCGTGCATACGACAAAGCTGTGGGGCTGCCAAGTGAAATTGAGAAATGATTCTTTCACACGTTTTTTCCTCCCTAAAATGGAGATAGGTTCCAACTTTGTGGTACTTTGTAACTTTTTGGAACAACAAACTGGGTTTGCTCAACGTGTCTATCGCTGTTTTGTATATTGTATGGATCATCGGTGTTTTGTTTTAGGCCCCATTCATTCTCGATACATTCTTGATGACTGGACAAGATGTGAGAGTTGCAATGGTTCAACCCGCTTTGGAACGGGATCACCTCGCTTCAATGACAACCCCAAACCTGGTTGGTACCCAATATCTCACATGTTCTTTTTTCTAGTTCCGACATGTTTTCACCCTAAATTCTTAATCCAAATTGACTATTTTTTTCAGCCCAGGTGTATCACCAACCTGAAGCCATCAGTTGCCCATGGATCGAGGTGTCTTTGCTTCCAGTCCTCGCGGTGCACGCGCTGCTGTGTCGCAAACTTCGGCCGTACCTGCAGTCCAGGTTGGGGCGGTAAACCCAGCCATGAACCCCTCATGCCGATGCCCTACAGCATCTGATTAGCATCACTGGGAGTCCAGTTTACATCATCAAAATGCATCAAAATGCTAGAGACATAGCCGGCACAGCCAAGAATAAACCTCCACATTATTGAAGCAATGCACTTGGAGAGACGTGTTGCAGCTGTTTATTTTTTGGCACCCAGAATCCTTCCCTAATGGTGGTGGCCATGGCCGCCCTTTTGGCAGGTGGCCGCTCTTGAATTTTCTCGCCTCGCTGCTCCCGAACCCACGGCGAGAATTTTCGTGCAAGCCTAAGGGCCTTTAAAAAGCTGCCAGCAGAGAGAGGTTGTCTGAAAAAGTTGGGAAACCCATGGAACCCCCCCATGAGAAAATCATGATTTTCCCTATAACAATTGCCAAAAAAGGAGGTGTACCGCAATTTCAGACAAACCCAGATCGGATTAAGTGGGTGAAATATCTTCCATGCATATCAACATTATATGACCAAAAAATGTGTGGTATGTTCACATGATTGGGATTATCACCACAATCCCCAACAAACCAACTGATACCTCATATATACCTCATCAATATCAACATCATCACCATCGAATCTATACTTCAGCATGAGTTTGAGGTGCAAAAGAGTTCTCCTTCAGCACGTTTTGGAGCTCTCCAAAGCTACCAGCGAGGCGTTTTTGGGAAATCAGAGAGGATCAACAGTTGAACTTTTTCGAGGTATCTCCCTCAATGCTTTAGGAATGCTATGGAATGCCGAAAAACATGGCACACATCTGCAATTATTACTGTAATTTGGTGATTCTTCAATTTTGACCCATGCACGACAACACTTAGAGTTTTCAAACAACTTATTTTTCACATCGATAATATCAAGGGTGTTTGTACTCAGTGGACAGCTTGCTGGACATCTCCTGATTGTGTCTGACACTTTCAAGATGCAGCTTCTCACTACAGCCAAGGGCTGAGTAGATTACACAAGATTAGGGAAACCATTCTGGTTGGGGCCCTTCTCCAGTTTTTGGACTCACCCTGTTTTCCAGGGACCCTTTTTGGTTCTGAGCACTTCCTTCCCCCATCTTCACCCTGCCAGAAGCCTTAGTTTAGGTCATCAGATGTCCAAGATCCTGTGTGGGCTACAAGGCAGAGACAGCCCTGATCTTAGATCCGGAGATCCGTCCCAGGGAAACCAGCTGCCTGGTTGTTTCAAGGCCCTCATCCACCTGGTTTTGGCCGTTAACAAGCTCAGAACCTCATGTTAAACAATGTTTGACTGTTTGATCCACTCCTGTCAAAGGTGTTGAATCCAATCATTGCGAGAGTGAATCCATGTGAATCCATATCATATGCTTAGTTGTTTCCGCACTCATCGTATTGGTTGTCAAATTAGATCACCATTTTGGAGATGCAGTGCCTCCCCCGTTCCGGATAGGGTCTGCTACGTTTGGAAGACTGGTTCCGCGCCACCAGCTGATTCCCAGAAGCTGCCCAAAGATCAATTTTTGGAAAATTCATAGAGGAACCAAAGATCAATTGGGAATGAATTGATCATTTGAGGGATGTGTTCCGATTCATTGAGATCTGATAGAGGCTGGTTTTTCCAGGATGGTGATGTTTTCCACCAAAAACACCGAAAATTTCTACGGCTCAGGTGGTCTCTCTGGGCAAGGGCCGCAGCTGCGTCTCATCAAAGCTTTCTGTGGAGCGGCCCTTGAGCCTCCTGCAGGCCATAGAAAGAGGAAGAATGGGCTGGGAACATCTCCAGCAAAAGAAGAGAATTAAACATCAAATGGATTGAGAATCATTGAGATATGTGTAAAATTGTGAATGGATACAAGGATTTTTTTTAGAACATAAGGAAACACGATAATGTTTAAGATATGTTTAAACATGTGAATGGCTATAAGGAATGGATATTAAGGATACTGCCAGCCTGAAGTGATGTTCGGGTTGCGTGCTACTGTAGTTTTCGGGAGGGATGGCACCAACAAACCTCAGTGTAGTGCACTCTTCGAGTCACGGGTGAGGCAAGCATAGAAGATGCAAGGGCAACTTTGACATGATGCAAAATTGCAAAAATAGCTGGTACTTTCATGTATTTTCATGGGGTTTATAGTAAGATATCCTTGAAGTTTTTAAACAAAGACAGGGGGCAAGCATAGCTTCAATGGATTTCAATGGGCCAATTGCCTTTGAGGCACCTGGACTTCTTTCAGATGTGCAACGACGGGCTGGGGAGCCTGGAAATGGCAATCTGTTTTGGCCAGATGGATCCATATGGCATATGGGATTCTGAGAAACTACGGAAAAGGGTACTCCACAATTCCATGATGTAGAACATGACTGTCCGAACTAAAATCTGAATTTTGCGTATCCACCATTCTTCAACACACCCATACTTATTCTTGGCTGATTCAGCCTGGTTTGTGCTGTTGAAGCTTTTGAAAGTTGCGCAATGTGTGTGTGTGTAGATTTTTGACCTCACAACCTTTTCCATAATAGGTGCACATTGTTTCTTCAGGAGATCCGATGTTCTACCGCATAGAGACTAAGAAAGAAACTCGAAGAGACTTTCAAACTCCAAAAGATCCGCGAGTGATTCTGAGAACAGCAGATTCTTTAAGAGGTTCTCCAAATACTTCTTCCCTGTGGAAGGAAAGTCCTCTATCAACATCATATGCATTTTGACTAGATGATTCCCCCCACTATAGGGGTTTCCCATTGGACAACTTTCAACGAATCGTAACGAATCGCCAGGTCTTGGCTGCACTTTTGCCCCTGTGCTGCTTGCCCTACGCACGTAGCATCCTTCGTGGCCAGACGCAGGTGGGAGGATGTGGAAATGCCATGTGAGAACTGTGAGAACTGTGAGAACTGTGAGAACTGTGAGAATATCCCAGTCCCAACCTGAGATCATCTATATCTTATATATATATATAATCTATAGTGCTGGATTGATGCGTGGTGGCTGGTTTTTCCACTGAGATCGCCACCACGACTGTGCCTGTGCGGTTTCCCGCGGCAGGATTGGGTCGTCGGACTGCTCCTCGCTTGGGGTAAGGCACGATGATTTGCAGTCCGCGTCCAGAGAGTGGTACCCATTTTTCACCATGGGTCACCACACCGCCCAGTTCAATCAGTTACCCTCTGGTAAACTAACATAACTATGGAAAGTCACCATAGAAATAGTGGATTTTCCCATGAAAAATGGTGATGTTCCATAGTTATGTTAAAAAAACCAGAGGGTAAATCACCACTGCCCAGTCCATCAATGCACATCATTCATATCATTCGCATTCGTTTGGTATGCGACAACATGTCCTGCTGTCTTGTTAGAGGTGGCGACCTGCTCCTTGCAACTTAGTCTGCCATGAGGCTACCGGCTTCACGGCTGGATGGATGGGTGGATGGGTTTGGAGCTTCAAATTCCCTGAAATCATGGTGTAATTCATGGATTTGCCGGGGGAAATCGGGAAATCTGTCAGGATGTCTTTGGGTTTACCATGAGGTATTGAATTATGATCAGAAGATCAGGTTTAGGACCGCAGATGCCCAGGGGTTTGATGGGGTTTGATAGCGCCCTTTGGCAACTGGCAACCCGACTTCTGACGGATCTTGATTCGAAGAAACACAAGCAATTGTTTGAATTGAATTGTCTATAAACATTTTCTTATTGAACCATCTGTTTGTTTTTTTCAATGGATAAATGCATTGGTTCATACCATAGACATGTATCATAACCAGTATATTTACACCATGCAACATATGTGGATTTCGGCATTGTTATCACACATGTGCAGAAAACAGATTAAAACATAATATCTCCATCCTTGCAGGCATCTGAGCGCAGCTGAGTCTGTGGGATGATACATTGATAGCGGCTAGGAAACATAGGGAAACCCAGCTAGAATTAGAAACCTCCATTTCTATGGGATTTTCCCTCATGCAGTGGATCATCCCCATCCGTGGTGCAGCTGTGGGACCTCGGGAGAAACCTTGCGGTTTTTCTCAGCGATCTATTCCAATAGCCACTCCACAAAAAAAGCCATTCCAAGAGCTCAAAAAACTCACCTGTTCCCACCTCAAGTCGCGAGTTCTCACTCTGCTTGATGGGATCCATGGTTCCAAGGAAACAAAACTATGAAACTTTATGACACTATGAAACTTGATTTCTTGAAACAAACTTGGCACTGAATCTTTGCTCCATGCACGGCTTGTGAAAAGTTCGACATGGAATACACATGGATTGCGTGGATCTCTGGCAAGGGAAATGGCCATTTGGGGCTTGCTCAGAAACGACTCCGCGAAAGGTCAATTTGCAGAACACAGAGAGACTTCTGCCACAAACGAAGTATCGAACCCACGATGATTACATTGAAGGGAAAATCACATTGGTTTTCACTGGTACCCTCTGGTAAACTAACATAGCTATGGAAAATCACCATTTTTAATGGGAAAATCCACTATAAATGGTCATTTTCAATACCAGAGGGTACATTGAAGGGAAAATCACATGGGTTTTCAGATTTTTCCATGATCCAATTCCCAGGCCCTACCAGCCACAACCCACCAGTCACAGACTGCACGGGTCAAACTGTGCACCCCATGGCCTCGTCACCTTCACTGGAAGGGCCACCGAAGCCAAACGTGACGCAAAAAAATGATGCCTTTGGCAAATTTCACAGGGCTTTCTCAACAAGAATAGTGTACCCGGGTACCCCCAAATCCATTGTTGTGCAATTGGAAAAATCAATCATTTTCCCGGATTTCAATCTATTGAGAATGAAATACAATGAGATTCACCTGAAGCACCGTGGCCCCCAAGCGAAGATAGCTGTGTTTTTTCTAGTTTAAGGCTTGTTTTTAGGGGGAAGGCTTAGCAACCAGAACCATGGTTTTTGTGTGCAGAATCTGCACACATTTAGACCTCAACAAAGCTATTAATTAGGGGCTGGCATTTTGCCGACGATTCTTCCATCGGTGCTTTGTGGATGGCTCAAACCGATTCGCAGCTGCACGAATTCGGATCTGCGGAACATGTCGACCATGCCGATTCGACCATGTCGACCATGGTTTTTTGTGGGGATTTCCATAGGGATTTCCATGGTTAATAATGGTTAATAATGGTTAACTGATGGTATAATGGTGATTAATGGTGATTAATGGTGATTAATGGTGATTAATGGTATAAATGACTAGGCCTGGGATAGAAATGAAAACACAGAAAAGGCGCATCATGACATCGACATCGACTTCGGATTGTGGAAGTGTAAAAAAACATGGCCCTCATTGGAAAGTCTGAAATGGCTTCACAAAAACCATGGTGTTCTGAAAACCATGGCATCATGGTTTGCCATCTCATTGAAGAATGTCCATGTCCACCAAAAAGGGCAAACAAAAATCAGGGAAATTTCACTTCAATGGTCTCCCAAGATAGCCCATTTTCTGGGATCCCAGCTATTAATGTCCTTTTCCCACTGGTTGGTTGATAAAATTCCCAAGGGTTCTCCCCATTCAAGAACCAATAGGTAGATGGATGATCATGCAATATCACATAGAATATAAGAAATCATATACCAGACCGGCCTTACTTCGTTTTGTTTTTCCCTGAAAGGACAATACTTGTGCATACTTGTGCAAAATAACAGATAATGCGTTTCTTATTCTTTAAAGTTCTTTCCTGACACACACACACATATATACATATATATATATATTCGATTAAACAAAATGTGATTTGTACAGCCATCTGTCACATTTGTGTTTCCATTCGGACATCGAGATGTGCCATGGGTGGTTCTTGTAGTGTCCTGAGCACAGCCGAGTCAGGGATGCTCAGCGTTTTGTATTTTTTTTGGGGTCAAAGGTGTGCACAATATCTACACAGCATCATTGCATGTATATTAATCATAATCCTATGTATATATATATATAGATAATGTACATGTTCAATTATGATATATAAATATTATGTATTTCACTAATATATATATATATATGCATATATATATATAATGTACATGTTCAATAATATTGCATACTTGTAGATATACTATTGTGTATATATGATGCTATGGATACATCAGGTCATTTTTTTTGATACTTGGAGAGTATTTTAAATGACTTACGGCGCCAGGTTGGATGGATATGTTGATGTACATTCCACCCTGCAAGATGTGTGAGTTTCGCGTGGTCCAGAAACAAAGCGAGGCGTGAAGATTACCCTCTGGTAAACATACATATAAAACTATGGAACATCACCATTTTCAGCGGGTAAATCCACTATTTCTATGGTCCATTTTCAAGTTCGCAAACTGTTAGTCATTACCAGAGGGTAAGCGGAATCTTAGCCACTGAAACACTTTTGGGATGACATTCTTAGTCTTGGGACTGTCCAATGTAAGATAGACTACGATAGACTATCCCCACCGTTTATGGATTCTCCCCTCCATTAATCATAGGTAGTATATATGTATAATATATATATGTATATATTGACATAATATGTATATAATTATATATATATATATGCAAATGTATCATGACAGTGTGGTGGTTTCACTGAATCGAAAAGAACACCGCCTCGCCTCACGAGGTGCCGGCGGTGCATCAACGCTGATGCCTCTGCAGTTCCAGTGGTCAATGCTAGGTGGGGAGGCTTTGAAGCGTAGGAGAGTTCTAGAGAATCTAATCATCTAATCCCTTTTTTTTTGCTGGACACCTTCCATATTTTCATATATATTTTTCCCCATTTTTCGGATCAGTTCAGGTTGGTCACCACAAAAGGTGATCTTGATGTCAAGGCAATATCTGAACCTGTGATGTTCCATCAGTATTTTTCTTTGTATTTCCATGTGTTGGAGTAGGGCCTGAGTAGGAAATGATTTGTTTGTTTTTGAAGATGGGTCAAATTTCACAAAAGATGGGTTGATAGTAATGGCCATTTTTGTCCATTTTCACTGATGTTCAGGGTTTCAGATGTAGCACATCGATTCCATTCGTTCCATTCTACCCTCTGGTAATTTAACGTAGCTATTGAACATGGCCATTTATAGTTGTTTTTCCCGTAAAAGATGGTGGTTTTCCATAGCTATGATAGTTTACCAGAGGGTATCTTGGTTCACATCATTGGAAACCCAAAAATCCTGACTTCCTCGGAAAATCCCGGAAAAAGCCAGGCTTCTGGATGCCGCCCGACTGGGTCAGCTAGAGGTGCTGGTGATTTTGGCCTCCAACAAAGGGCGCCATTTCAATGATTTTTTCAATGATTTTCGATGATTTTTCATGACTTTTGATGATTGGAACATTTCTGACTTTTCTTTGGGATTTCCAGGTGCTTTTTTTAATTCGCTAAACCGTGGCCGTTTTGCCGTTTGACAACACGTCTGCTTCATCTGCAGCCCTAATGGCTCAGCTGGTTTTTTGGGTCGAATTTCTGTCATGAAGGACCTGAAGTATCCTGAAGCTCAGCTCTGCAGTTTTGAAGTTCTGTGACGAAAACAGCAACTTTTGTGACTTTCGTGGACATGGATGATTGATGATGATTGTAGGATTTGTGACTTTCTGTGGTTTTTTGGAAGTTCCCAGTGTTCCAGTGAACAGAATCCACGGTTCATTTCCCTTTCGCACGCCATGGACGATCGTTTGGATGGCCTGATTGGTGGCTCGAAGTTGTCATTTCTTTGATCGGGCCTGGGATGTGCGGGCCCTTAACCAACCCTCTCCTAGTTGAACATATCGATAAATCTTCATTGAATTGGAGAACCCCATACCACAGGTATACCACGGGTTATGGATACTCCAGTCACTTGAGAAAATTCAAAATTAACCAGATGGATATGAATGGATCAAAATGATTGACCGGCTGGATGCTGAGCACCATCTTTCAGCACGAGCCGCCAAAGTTTGCCATTAAGGATTGCACTGACTCACCAAGCCAAAACGAGGCATTTTGCAGGTTATCCAAGACTAGCCATGAAGGATCATGATTGATCATGAATGATAATAATAGATAGAATGGTTGATCATCATCATATATAGATCTATTAATAATCATTATATGAATGATAGATCTATCATAATAATAATATTATCTATTATAGATAGAACAATTATGATGAATATAGATCTATTAATAACCATTATATAATCTATCATAATATTATATAATAGATATATCCATAATATCATTACCATTATATAATCTATCATTATATCATAATATAATCATTAGCCACGAATGGTTGAGTCATGATAGATCTCATTCTGATTGTGAGGTCGTCCCGCCGAAATGGAGCAAATGGTCAACGCTGCCTGACGAGAAATTTTGGACCATGCGGAGGTAAAACGGCAACCCCTAAACCAATTCTCGAAAAAAGAGATAGAAAGCTGGTATATATATATACATATTATATCATGTATATATATATATATGCAATATATATATATACACATACATACATCCATACATACATACACACACATATATATATATATATATGTATTATAATACGAACATAACGAAATCCGATGCAGATATTGAAGATATGGGGGAAACACCATGAACAATTCCCAGCCTGGAAACACTTTTTGGATTTTTTGGACATCTTTTTGGGGATGGCAAAATGATGGCTATATGTTCTAAGAACTGTTGATACTTCCAGAGATGCTTCACCTTCCAGGCCACCGTGGCGTTGATGGTTAGTCCGGGGGCACCAACTAGAATTCCCATTGAAAGCCAACCATTCCAAGTTGGATGTTTTCTAATTTAAATTTTCCAATGTCAGTGGATTACAAACGTTAATAAACCAATATAAACCATGTACATATATATATATGTACATATATATATATGTATATATATATATATCTATCTATATATATATATAAACCATGTATATACATAATATACCCCATGTATCCACAACAGCAGTGGCAGGTCTCAGATTATGTGCCTCCCCAGATCAACGAGAAAAACTTGTGGCTGCTGGGAGTTGTGAACTCAGTGGGCGGGCTTGGAGGGTACATAGCAGTGTCCATAGCAAATCATACAGCATGGGCACCCCCAGTGATGTTTGTTGGTTTATAAACCCCATGAATACTATAGTTATATCTGCCATAAACCATAGTTATGGGAGTTATAAACCAACTTAGCTAACTATGGGGCACTACCTTGTACCAATGTTTTCTGGTCATCCGCAGATGCCGACAGGTCAATTATCACCCCAAATCAGCAGGCAACAAAACGACTTTTCTATCTTCCTGGGGATAACAAAAATATCTGGTTGGTGGTGACTGGAACCACGGAATTTTATGCCTTTCCATATATTGGGAATTTCATGATCCCAATTGACGAACTCCATCATTTTTCAGAGGGGTGGCGAGCTCAACCAACCAGACATGTTCTTCAGTCAACAATTGAGGTCCACTTTCACTGAGGTCATGGCGCCTCTTTCCAGCCATGGAATTTTCCAGTTTTTGAAGATGTACTCCTCTGTATGTAAACGTTTCTGTGTGTAAAAGATGCTCACTGCTCTGTGTAAAAAATTCTCTGTGTAAAAGCTCCTCTGTGAAAAAGCTGCTCTGTGTAAAAGGCTTCTCTGTGCCAAGCCTCTGCATGTACAAGCTTTTCCGTGAAAAAGCTCCTCTGTGATCATCCAATCATCCCAAACAAAATTGGGACCGTGACATACCCCATTTCCGGACTTTGAAGCATCTGATTCTTCGCGAAGTGGCCCGCGTGGCCGAGGTGCTTTTGGCGGTCTTTGGTACCTTAGTGGGGACCATCGGCAAGCAAATGATCAGAAGATCTGAAATGTACAAGCAGGACCAGCCATGTCACAACTCCTTACGGGAAAATCGGGAAACAAAAACAAGTACTGTAACCTCCAAAAAGATAGGACAGTAAAGTCGCACTAAAATAGTGATACATCTGATATATCACTTTACTATATGTTCTTGGGGATTACTCAATATACTGTACGTTTTTCGCGCTTTAACAGCTTGTGCCGACTGATGTGCTCCCAGGACCGAAGAGAGCGAGAAAGTTCTATTATGTTCTCGGTAGGTGGTAGCCTCAGCAACGTTCCACCGGGTCTATGGATGACCATTGTCGATCCACTCCCATAGTTGGTATTTTTGTGCTTCTTTGTCTTGTGGAATCGCCATGGCTCCAATGTCACTGTAAATTGCGGCGAAGGGATTTCTCCCCTGTCTAGCATTGCAGTTGAATTCTTCGTCCTTCATTGGAGCACCCCCCAAGTTCAGCTGTAAATCGGTAAACTCCAATTTTAATACTAGCCATGAAATGAATATTTCACCGTATCATTTTTTTTCCAGTTGCACTACCACCATTCAAAATACCTTTTGCACAAACAACCGCGTTTTCTCAGATCAATCCCAGTTTTTTTTGCTGGTTCAACCACCATTTTTTTCTCCAAAAATCCTCCGAAAAACCCAGAACATCCGTTTTTTAATCCTGAACAGCTGGAAAAATCCATTCAGAATCTGCTGGAAAAATCATTTTTTTTTTTAATCTGCTGGAAAAAAAACGGCAAAAAAAATCCCCAACCGCACCGGGAAACTCCGAACGACCCAGGTCTGGCGCTGCAGGTAGCGCTGAATCCGCTCTGCGACCTGGCGGGCTATGCCTTGGCGCCCGCCTCGGTGATCGCTCCGGTGACGGGGATGGACATCGCCCGGGCGGCCCAGCTGACGCAACTGGTGGGGTTCCAGGGGAAGGTGGGAAATTCCGGGCAAATTCGGTGGGAAATTTGGAGTTTTTTGGCCAGAACATGGCCAGAACTTGGGGTTTTCTCATATGGGTATGGATCAATACCTATACATACCATTTTTAGGGGGATGAACATCCATTTACCAGCTATTTTGATGTTCACCAGGGGGATAGGGTTTTGACCCATCCCCATATTTTCTTCATATTTTCTCGTAAAAATTAGCTTGGCGTGTGGGAAATGGATGATTTTGTCCAGCCATCTCTAGAGTTTGACCATCTTGCAAGATGATTTCAACACATCGGCATCTGCTTCCTAAAGGGACGGCCAGTAACGACAGGATGAGTCTGTGGGG